AAGGAAAAGCCCGATCGCTTCATTTCCATGATCATCTCGAGTGTCAACTTCTTCAAACATAATAATTTTTTGTTGTGTTCCATTATCCAAATTTTTACAATTAATTTGTTTAGTTTAAATTGAATCATTAATTATTGTAAACAATTAAAATTAAGAAATTTGTATTGAAGATGAGCCCCACAAACAGGTTTCTTATACAATTAGTGTGATTCCGCGTGCAAAAAGCTCATTAAACCAATTTTTTTTTAACACAACTTGTCGCGCAAAAGCTTTTGTGTTATGAAAATTATTGCATACAACGAAATGCAAATTGAGGGAAACAAAGCGGCTCATCAGGTGCACCTGGCACGGAGAGGCGCGCGCAAAGTTATCCCAATTTCTTGCTGTGCATTTTGCAAATGCAAATGAGCTCGTTTGTTTTCGATTTTCGTTTGGTTTCGTGTGCTTTCAGCGCTCCGTGTCTGGCACCGCGGGTTTTGTGACCTTCTCGCTTTTCAAGAGAGAATGTGACGCGCCGCGCACCACCATCTATCTCTGATGCTTGATGTAAGAAATACATATTCAACCGTCAGCAGTTTTCGCCCGAGATATAAATTGACGCGAATTTGCAGAGCAAGGAAAGAGATTCCATCATCAGCTGAATTAAAAATTACTGAATATTCGCAAGACAAAATATTATTTTTGCGGCAACTTTATTCTTTATAGTAAGGAGTTTTAAATTTAGTCAAGAATTATATCCATCAGATACGAACTAAATAAAAAAATCTAAAAATTTTCAACGAGTTTGTAGGTTCTAAAAAAAGCTTTCTTCCTTTTAATAACCATTAAAAATTGATATCTTCAGCAAATTCATTTATCATTTGTCTCTCAATTTAACTCATTTAAAATTGCTTGGGGGGCCTCCGAGGGATCCCTTTTGATTCAGGTGACGAAATTCCACGCGCCGGACAAACCAGTATTTTCTTCGTCTTTTTTATCTTTCGTCGCGTCCGATGCGGTGACCAAGAAACGCTGACCTGATCTTTATTTCCATCTCGCGGCCGCCACGCGCCTCCTCCTCGTTTCAGTCAACACAAGACTAATTATTACCGCAGTGTGTTTCATTTTAATTCCTATTTTCACCGCTATCGTTTCTTTATTTACATTCGTGGCCGATTTCGTCAGCAAAAGAGAGAGAGAGGCTCCTGTTCACACCGTGTGCGATAAAAAGGAGGAGAAAAAACTGGCATCATTAGCGCCGGTGGAATTGTGCGGCGCAGTTTACCAGACGGCCTCAGAAAGAGAGAAACAAACCGCTTCAGTTAACTTCAGAGCAGCGTAATATCTGAGAGAAGCGCCGAGCTTCAAAAATACTTTTTCGCCAAGATTTGCTACGCCGGTCGACCTTCGAATGTAAACAGACTTTTGTAAAAAAAAATTTAATGGAATATTAGGTTTAGCAAAGTGGGATGAAATTAGATCGTAATTAAATCATTTTGATTGTTACAAAATAAATAAATAAATGCTTAATTTTTAAAAATTTATTATTAATAATTTTTAAAAGGCCAAAAATTGCATTAAAAAAGCAGGTTTTGTCGTGCTCAGGTCCTATTCACTGCCTTTTAATTGCGAGCACTTTGAAGCCCATTCGATCGCATGTCCTCAGACACTTAGTTCGTTGGCAGCTCAGGCAGACGGAACAAGTGAGTGAATTTATTTTCGCTCCGCAGCCGGCGGCACAGCACCGCGTATATTTGCGTGTTGATATTTTTTGTTGTGCTTAGTACGGACGTAAGCAACGGAGAGCATCATCTCGTTGGTATTGATCGAGCACAAGGCGGCCCCGCCGGGGTGGCCGAACAGCTGATAGCCGCCCAGCCACATCAATCTTCTAGGCAAACACACTCACGGAAGCTGATTAACGCCTGATTAAAACCCAACGACCAAGGCTGTGGGAACGAAAAGCGACTGACCGCTCAATTAGTTAGACCAGCCGACTATTTTTAACTGAGCAAAACCCCAACAAATTTTTTAATTTGAAAGAAAATTTGTAATTACACAAAAGTTTTGATTCCTTAATTGCAATTTTATTTGTAGTTTTTTTTTTATAAAAAAAAAAATCGGAAGGAAACTTGTTGAATTTAAACTTCTTTTGTCATTTGTGCAGAATGGACTACAAATCATTTTTGCAGCCAATTTAGAGCATGTTCTCAGGCGAATTAAAGCGGATCCTCTTCGTCAAGAGGGAAAACATTAATATATTTGGCCACGCGAACAGCTGCTCGTCTCGTCAGTCTGAATTTTTTTTCGCGACTACGAGAGCACCCTTGGCACACATTTCACGTCGTGTATTTTCTCCGCTCCTCCAATTACCGCGACCACCACTGATTTGAAAAACGCTATTTTGGCGAGCGGAGGAGAAGAAATTTTGGTTACTTTCGCGAGAGAGTTAAACGGTTTCCACCGTCAAGAAGACGGAGTGATAATTGGAGGAGTATTTTTGTAACGAAGGACAAGCGTAACACTCGATATACACACGGCATTGAATTTTGACTTATCTTACCTAAATATAACTATTTATTGACCTCTGCTTCCGATATTAGAGCTATTCTTGGTATCCCTAGATAATGACACTTGATTTTAAATAGGATTCAAAAGATAAGACTCGAGATAGTCGAGATTGATCAAATAAAAGAAGTTATTATTTAAAATATATATTATTTTTAAATATTTGAGAGCATTACAGTAATAATATTTATTTGTAAATTCTATTTTTCTATATTATTTCTTGAAAAAAAAATAATGATAAATCATCAAAGTGGAACGTCAAAGACGCCTGAATGCCATCATCGATTCCTCTCTTATTTTGCAACACAACTCCGACTGCCTTCCACTGTAAATTGAAATCCTCCTTCGTTTCAATCAAAAGTGCAGCCGAGCGTGGAAAACCGCCCTGCAGTAAATTCCACCCAGCGGCGGCAGAGACTCGTGGGAAAAAAATGCCGATTAACAAGCCATTGGAAGACCACACGTTTGCTATCGGTGCCAGCTGATTAATTAATCAGCCCCTAATCACGCACGGTACGTTGCGGTCGCGCTTCGCCGGCTGCATTCCTCTCGCACCTTGGCCGGCTCCAGACAGGCGCCCCTTGCGATACTCCGACCGACTCGACGCCCGTATCGCTTTCAGCCAGACGGTCTTTCGACCATGGCATTAGAATGCTTTTGCAAATTCATGTTGATTACAAACAGCGCGATCTAATTATTGAAATGCATAACCACAGATATAAAAATAAATTTAAGAAATACAGAACAAAATTAATTATTTTTTGGTAATTCTAATGGAATAAATTTTTACAATATTTTTTGTAAGTAAACGATAAAAAGGAAAAATGATTGAAAATATTTTTTTACTGATTTTAGTTTTTTTTTCATTGGCCCCTCATCAAGAATGTATTGAATGGGAAATAAATGATAAAATCAATTTTAATTCTAATGCAGTGCATTTTCCCTCCAAGAATTGGCATCAAACTCAATCCTATGACGTCATCTGCGGTAATTCCCATTGATTCGAGTCCAAAATTTCGGTAAAAGTGCAGCGTCTGGCAAATTCCAGCAGCTGCTCGGCGCCGCATACGTGCCGCGAGTCACGCGTGTTGCTTTGCCAACGAACAAAAGGAGACACCCCTGCGCTCCTTTATGATCATCCAGCCTAGGTAGGTCCATTTGAGAGCGGCCGTAAATCAGACAAAGGAGATTTATTACAACCGAAAAGACGCGTTAAAAAAAGTCAAATCCATTTGGCCCCCCAGGTAAAATGAATGCCTTTCGGTCTGGAAGAAAAATCATGACTGCACTGGAAGAAGGAAGAAAACTGACTCACTGGTTTGGACCAGTTTCACTGCGTTGAGCACGGAAAGCTGGGCAAAAGCAACTTGTTGATGCATGTATAAAGAGGAAATAAAATATTGAAATGATGTGGCTGAATTGAGCGTTTTGGCAAGAGAACAGTTTCCTACAATGGAGCACAACTTTGTGTAAAAAATTTCAATTTTTAAGAAGGATTTTTTTATATTATATAATACATTATTTAAGAAAAAAAATGAAGCTTCTTTAATATTTTCATTAATACCCTGTTACCAATATTAACATTTTGTGTAGAAAATTTCGATAAGGAAAAGCGGCTTTTTAATAAATTTTAATTCCACGTTAAATTAAGCTCCCTATAATTTTTTTGGACCAGAAAAAAATGCTATCATTCTGGGTCCAAACACGGTCAGATTCATTCACTGGTTTGATAATCATTAGCAATAATTGCGCCAACGTCAGCTTCCAATACATATATCCAGCTCGTGATTGCGACAAAGTCCGACGCCACGATCTGATTGTGCAAATAAATCTATCTGCGGTGCAAAAATAAATCTCGGCAGATTTATAAATGGCAGAAATGATAAATTTGATCGGGAAAGTCGCACATCACGTTGGCGGATTTATTATTTTTATTTTCATTATTTACTGGTATGAGTCACTCGCTGCGACTTGTCGGTTTTCTCCCGCGAACGAGTCAAGGTCCGAACGGTTTGGCAAACTGAGTCAGCTGCATCGAGACAAAAGCGAGAGGGTTGCCCAAGGGGCGCACATCGCGTGGGGTGAACGACCCCATTAACAGAACGAAAGAAAACAATTGATTTATAAATAAATGTAGCTGCAATTAATTCAGAATGATCTATTTTCTAAATCTAGCCGCGAGCGATGAAACATTTAAAATATTCATTTAAAGATCGGAAGAACCACGTGACGTTGAGATTAATTTGTTTCAAGGTTGCCGGTGCTGCTTTGCGCCAGGCGCCGAGCCGAAAATGCTGCATTGCTTATTTTTTTATTAATGAAATATCGCACTTGAAGATGGAGTACTATAATTAAAAACTAAGTAACCAATCAAAAACTGGCAAACTAGCGGAGAGTCATTCGAAAACCTTCACGCAGCACTCAGGTCAAGAAAAAATAAAGATCGGTCCTACCTTTCAGACTCGTCAGCGTGGTGATCCTTGCCGGCCAGGTCCTCCGAGGAGAGTTCGCCACCGATGATGGACGCAGCCGCAACTGGAGTTTCCTGAGGCTGGGGCGGCTCGGCCGATGGCTGGGCCTGCTCGTGAAGAGGCCCGTTTAGGGGTCCGTTAACGTAGGGATAGGGCGTGGTGGGGCCGTTGCTCTGCACCATCACCTGCGGCTGCTTTGCCAACGGCTTGGCCTGCATTTGTGGCTGTGGGGGCGTAACCTGTGGCTGCGGCTGGGCGCTCGGCTGAGGCGCCGCAGATGTCGCTTGCAGTTGCTGCATGACGGCTTGCGGCTGAGATTGCATTTGCGGCTGGAAAGTGGCCGGGATACTTGTGGGCACCATTTGGGGTGGCGGCTGGATCACCTGCGGCTGCGGTGGTAGTTGCTGCTGCATGGGGATTTGAATCGGTTGCGGCTGGTACTGCGGCTGCGGAGCCTGCACCATGTACTCCTGATACGGCTGTTGCGTAAACGTGCTAGCCATTGAGGTCTGTGGCACAAACTGGATGGGCTGCATTTGTGGCTGCATCGCCGGCTGTTTTGGCTGCTGCGGAGGTTGTTGGTACACAGGTTGGTATCCGGGTTGCGGCTGTTGGTTCTGCATCATTTGCTGGAAGTCGGCTTGCACGTACGTCACCTGCGGCTGAGATGGCTGGGCAGCCACGTAGCCAGCCGACTGTGGCATGGCTTGCTGCTGCTGGTATTGCGGTTGTGCTCCGTTTTGCTGGATGAAGCCATCAGGTTGTTTTGGTTGCACAAACTGCTGTTGCATTTGTGGCTGGAAAGCTGAAGGCTGAGTTGCAGGCTGTCCTTGTGGCTGCTGCATCATCACCGGCTGGAAATTGGTTTGCTGCTGCTGCATTTGTTGTTGCGGCTGCATCTGCTGCTGCTGGATTTGCTGTTGCGGCTGGATTTGCTGTTGTGGCTGAATCTGCTGCTGGGGCTGGATCTGTTGCTGAATCTGTTGTTGTGGTTGGATCTGTTGTTGCGGCTGGATTTGCTGTTGCGGCTGGATCTGCTGTTGTGGTTGAATTTGTTGTGGTTGAATTTGCTGTTGTGGTTGTATCTGTTGTTGCGGTTGAATCTGCTGTTGCGGCTGCATTTGCTGCTGCATCTGCTGTTGCTGCTGACTGATGAAACCCGCCGGTTGTGACATTGCCTTTGGTGGCTGCGTCGGCTGCTGCACGTACCCAGTTTGCTGTTGGGGTTGCGCTTGTGGTTGGGTCTGTACAAACTGCTGGGGTTGTTGCGGCTGGACGATAGGCTGCATGGGGTTTGTGGCAAAACTTGACGGCTGCGAAATTGGTTGTTGCACGTAGCCCTGCATTTGCTGAGGCGGCTGCTGTGGCTGGAAAGCCACAGGCTGGGGTTGCGCCACGTAGCCAGTGGATTGCGGTTGTTGAATAAAACTCTGCGGCTGCGGCTGTAACGGCTTGATGAACGGCTGTTGCGGCTGCTGGGGCGGGGGAGTGGAACGCACCGGCTCTTGTAGGTGCTGCGGAGGAGGCCTGGCAGCCGTGGCCGCCTCCACTTCTGCCTCTTCAGGAGCTGGCTCCTCACTTGCTGACGGCTGGGCCATATTGTGGTCCAGGAAGTCCATACATGTCCACCGCCCGCGTTTAAACGGCTCCGTGCTCTCAATTTTTACCACCTGTAACATTAATAATACTGTTAAATTAAAATAATAATCCCAATAAAATATTGAAAAAAAAATACTATAGAAAAAATAAATCTTTAAAAAGAATCTGTGACACACACAAAATTTAATTACAAACTTTCCACAATAGAAAAAAGTATTTTAAGACTTTTTAGCTTAGACTTGTTAGTTTGCTAAAAAGACTTGTTAAGTCCGTCAATTTTACATCACTTGGCCTCCTTGCAGGATTTGTTTACATTCGCAGACCCCATACGTCTATGACGACTAATGTCTAGGCTGTTCTTTATGTAACCCTACCGTTCTCAAAAACAGAAAGTGAAACGAGGAAAAAATAAGAGAACGTAAATTTCCCAAAATGACAAAAAAATAACCGGTGTGTTTTCCACAACCGGACACAACGACTATGTGAAGGCGGAACTTGGCTCGTTCTGACTTCGGGGAATAAACAGGGACACGTGACATAGGACAAGGACGAACCTTGAATCTGTCGTTTTTACAGGGTTGGTCCTTATGATCAGGGGCGTCCTTAGCCTCATGGGGCGAGTCAGCGGACGACGGAGCCACCAGCGCCAGGCCGTACTGGGCGCTGGTTGGTATGACGGGGGCGGCGACCGCGCCCTGTCCGAAGGCGGCGAAAATATCGTCCCTGGAGAAGGACGCGTCCTCGGAGAAGGAGTCGAGGTCGGTGGCTCGCGACTCCGTGTCTAGGTCGTCAGCGGAGTCGTCGCCGGCGTCCGTACTGGTCACGCGCGTGACGCTGGTGATTTGGAAGGATGGGCCCTTCTTGGGGCCCTTGGTGGGCCGCTGTTGCTCAGCGTCGGTCGCCAACGAGGCCGACGACGTCGACAGTCGAAGGGTCTCGCTGGTGGTGCGACTGCTGCTGCTGCTGCTCGTCGGCTGTTTCTGTTGCTTGTCGGCCATGTTTCGCTGTCGGAGGTGCTTCGGCTCGGCTCACCTGCTGGGCAGAATCACTTGTGCGGCCATGTCATGTCGGCCAGGCGCTCACGTCTCCTCACCGAACGATTCGACACCGCGCTTTGCTCGCCGACACGCTCACTCGCCGCCGACGGCCACCAACACTCCGTCCGTGTATTGAACACACACACACTCGCACGAACAATGATGGACGAGCGGCCAGATTCTACCGGTTAACTTGCCAAATGCACCGAAATACCGGTTTTTCAGCGCACACGTTGAAACGGTTTCAATAAGGAGTATGGAGATATTTCTAGAAAATAACAGTTAACGAGAATAAAATAAAGTTTTAGAGTCCAAATATTTTAAATTTTACAATTAATTTCATAATAATTTACTCAAATGAGAATTCTGGCTAAAATATTCAATTTCTTTTTACTTTTCCTTTAAAGATTGTCAACTCCTGTGCTTACACCTCACCCTTCGAGGCGATTATTTTGAACCAAGACCAATCACGAGTACTCGTTGATCTCTCATTCTGGCCGGTTAACCTGGCATTTTTGACGAATCAGTGAAGACCGCCGAATTGCAGGCACAAGTCATGGCCGCCTGGCCAGTTTGACCGGCGCGCAGCACGATGGCGCCACGGTTTAGGTCGTCTCTCGACGGCCTCGGCGGATCTCAGGCGAACTTTTTGAAGCCAGAGTTTTTCTTTTAGCAAGCTACATACAAGGCGCCAACCAAAGTATTGCGAACCACATGTCTAAGACGAGATGAAGAAGATAAATTAAGATAATAAAAGCAAAAGCAAAAATTATTGCAGGGTAAAACGGTGAAACTGCTAAAAAATTCAATTATGAATAAAAATATTAAATTTTGTGGTAGAATTTCACAATCGAGGGTTGATTCATGGTGATTTGAATTTAAAATCGGCTTTTCCTCGATGGGTTTTTGTGAGTTTTGTTTATTGTTTAAGAAAAAACAATATCCTGCTCTACATGTTTCGGCTGCGGGCTGCAGCCATAATTCATGAGCTTTCTCGGCGGTGGTCGAGAGAAGACTCGACCACTTCTCTCGACCACCGCCGAGAAAGCTCATGAATTATGGCTGCAGCCCGCAGCCGAAACATGTAGAGCAGGATATTGTTTTTTCTTAAACAATAAACAACTCACAAAAACCCATCGAGGAAAAGCCGATTTTAAATTCAAATCACCATTAAATTTTGAATGTATAGAGCATGAAATGTAAATTTTCAGTGAATAAATAAATAAGTGAATAATGGTTGTCTTGTTCAAAAAGGAGGAGTTGGTATTTAAGAAAAAATAAATTAATACTATCTACCTTTTGTTATAACTCTTCAAACCTAATTTCATTACCAATAAAATTATTTATTTCTTTTGCCTTTTCATCTTATAATCCGAACCCGTGATTATATTATTATCATTATTTTTTTTTATTTTTTTTTTTTTTAGGGTCAGGCCAAGACAAAAGCCTGTGCCCTTTCTTAGTGGTGCAGAAAGCAACACCCAATTTTTTTTATTTTTGGGTTCATAATTATTTTGTGTAATAACTTGATGTAATTAAGATGTTGTGTTTTTCATATATTATTGTATCTGAATGGAGAATAAATAAATTAATTAATTAATTAATTGTATATGTCGCGCCTGTTGTAGTGGTCGATTACATATTATCTGATTCTGAATCTGGACAAGAGGCGCGACCTTCCACAGGCGTTGCGTGCATTTGTCGCGCCGATTGAAGTGAACCATTACAAGAGGCGCGACATATAAAAACAACCCCCTTCTCCGTACAATGGTGGTATGGTCTTTTGCAATCAGTTAAGATTGTCTTCCCCTTCTGAACCCATCCCAAAGGCCCTTATTCTTTCCTGCAGTCCCGGTGAACTGTAATTTTTAGTAAAATTCAAAATTAAAAAAAAAACCGTGAGCGTTGAATTAAATTCAAGGTTATTCATATTAAATTTTTCTTTACACTTTATTAATTTTTGTGGATTCTTCATTTAATAAAAGTGCTCGAATAATATAATGTGTTTACCAAAAACTTGGAAATTTTTAGTCACTGAAGTAGGTTGCATTTTAATGAGAGATACTCAATTTTATAAGCCCCAGTTAGTATTTTTAAGTGGTTGCAATTCAACTCTAAATTGCTTGATTTGTGCCAAATTTGATATGTTTTAGTGTATCTTGCATGCACAAAATAGTCCGAAAACTAAAATTCTGATACTTGAAATATAAACATTTCATAATGCAATAAAGAAACACAATAATAAAATATAAAAAAAATCTCACCAATTTTTTTTTCAAGACATCCATCTGGCTGTTGGTCACGGCTTCTCCAGAGTTATTGGGAAAAGCCGAGGGTGAAGATGGCAAGCGTCCTCGCACTCTGTTGTCCAAGGAGGCATCGCGGTCCCACCATTGGTGCTGAAGCCAAAACCGCCCTTCCAAGCTGACACGCTCAGGCAGGATCTGTGGAAATAAACTAAAGAACTTCCAAAATTATTCTCACTTTAAAGAAAAATCTAATAATAAATTTGTGTTACCCAAACACAAACTATTTCACATGCACGTCTTTCAAACTACTGAACTATTCTCACTAGCACTTTTTTCACTTTTAAAATTCTATTTTCACTATTAAATAGTAACATTCATTTAACCTACTTTATCTAACAAGAAATTATATTTCAGTCCGTTTGTAGAACACTTAGCCAATTGATTTGGTCACATTTAATATGTCTTGTACAAAGCATTTTAACAATCAACACTATCATTTTCATTCATGCGCCGTAGCTGCTCAATACTTCTAATTTTTAATCCTTGCATTCATATTCTACAATACAAAAGTAATGGGCAGAAAATTTGATGATTGAATTTAAAAAAATTTGTATTTAGTTTGCTGCGCATTCAAAATCATTCATATAAGCTTGTAAACAGAAACTTTCTGCATTATGCGGTCCTATTATAAATATCTTGCATCACTCGAATTTTGGAAAAGTTACAAGAGAACAATCAATACATTGGACTTGGCCACTTTAAATAAGATTTGTTTAGATTTTTCTTTTGGTAAAAAAATAACCACTTGCACTTCACTCACTGTTCATGCAAAAGCCGTCCTTAAAGTTCAAAGAAACATGCATTTTTACTTTTAATAAGTTATTTGGCCATTTTTTAATAAAGAAGTATTAAAGTGGAGTGGTTTGACATCCCGACAAACTTAAGCAGACATCCGCGGTACTGAGACTCACTTCCGGCTATTGTTCGGGGGCAGGGGCTCCCGGTTGCGCAACGTGGAAGGTGTTCGAGGAGGCAAGCCCGGCGTGACCAAAAATACTGGACTACACAAGGGTGCCAACAACGAACCCAACCTCTTTCACGCCCATTGCCACACTCATGACAACTCAATCTCATGAGTGCACCACGTCAGCATCAGTGTCATCTGAATTCTCCGCACCTCCCATGCGTTCAGACACAGGACTTTAGTCGCAACCAAGCCCTGGACACCAAATCGTGTTCCCGCATGGCGAATGCAGAAGCTCAATGGGTGGTTGTGATGCCTCGGCATTATTCACACACAAGCCATTCAGACGACGCATTGCCAGCGGTGGCGGGCAACGTCCCCTGTTAGGGGCGGCCTTCAGCTGTTGTCCGCTCCGTTGGACCGGTATCTGTTGCGGGTGCAACCACTCCATTACAAAAAGATAATTGGCATAAGTGCAGTTGCTTCATTTATACATTTTTTTTAGTAATAATGACAAAATTCACCCAGATAACTATTCATTAAACTTTAAATTTAAATTACAGTATAATAAAAATGAAAACATTGGGCTCTCAGGCAAAACTGGTAAAAGTGGGTGGAGGATGTTGCGCCTATCTGTGGCAAATGCACAACTCAACCTAGTCACATTACTGTCTTGATCGTCGCATGCAGAATTTATTTAAACCTACTTGAGGTCAAAGGAGCTCCGTCTTCTGCAGGTTTCAAAACTTGACCAAGAGCTTGGCACTGGCGGTGTCTGCCAAGTCCTCAAACACTGTTGACGAGTGGCGTTTCTCTTCGACCTGATTGAATTTAATATTTATAATTAAAATTCCAATTATAAAAAACCGAGGATGCGGTTCTCATATATTATATAATATAATAATCTTCAATGTAATTAATTTATGTTAATGAGAACAATTACTGAATTTATTTTTTGTATGATTAAATGAGATTTTCTAATTAAATTAGAATTTAATTAATTCATGAAAATTGTATCCTTGGAATTACTTTGATTTGTTTCAAGAGTTAAGGTGTGCGACTAATCTTTGGCCAGAGCGCTTCTATGAAATAAAAATGCAAAAAAAATCCTATTGCACTACCTGCTCACTGCTCTGCAACAACCTTGGGGAGATTTCAACTGGCCGACTGGCATTGGTTTGCCTGGTGACCGACGGTGGTAGGCCATCACAACCTAGAAAGGATCTCATTTTTCCATTTCTGCCGCTCAATGTTGTCATTGGATTGGTTGAGGCCTAAAGAATTGAGAATTTATTAAAATAAATTTGATCCAAAGTGTAAAAATTTGGGCGAGTTCCCTTACTTTTACTTTAAAATAAATAATGGAACTAGAAACTTCTATGCAAAGTATTTAATCAGCTTGAAACCCTTTTTAAAATAAGTAAAATATTTTATTTCAATTAGAGTAAAGCTGGTTGAAGATTTATTATTGATTGGCTATGCCAAATTCAACATGCAAGAGAAAAATAACAAAACAAATAATAATAATAAAAAAAAAAAAATGATTTCATATTGATCCTGTGAAAATCAAAAGGACAAGGATCATATAAATGAAAACATTGGGCTCTTAGGCAAAACTGGTAAAAGTGGGTGGAGGATTTTGCGCCTATCTGTGGCAAATGCACAAAACTCAACCTAGTCACTTTACTCGTCTTGATCGTCGCATGCTTGAGAATAGATTTAAACCTACTTGAGGTCAAAGGAGCTCTGTGTACTGAAGGTTTCAAAACTTGAGCAAAAGCCTAGAACTGCGGTGTCTGCCAAGTCCTCAAACACTGTTGACGAGTGGCGTTTCTCTTCGACCTGACTGAATTTAATAATTCTAATTAAAATTCCAATTATAAAAAGCCTAGCATGCTGTGCTCGTATATAACATTTATAATCTTGAATGTAATAAGGCTTGCATTTATTTTAATGAGAACAATATCTGAATTTGTTTTAATTGTTTTGTTTTCTAGTGGCGTTTCTCTTCGACCTGACTGAATTTAATAATTCTAATTAAAATTCCAATTATAAAAAGCCTAGCATGCTGTTCTCGTATATAACATTTATAATCTTGAATGTAATAAGGCTTGCATTTATTTTAATGAGAACAATATCTGAATTTGTTTTAATTGTTTTGTTTTCTAATTAAATTAGAATTTAATTCATGAAAATTGTATCCTTTGAATTAGTTTGATTTAGGATTGATTAGGATAGATTATTAGTTTCAAGAGTTAAGGTGTGCAAGAGCGCTTCTATAAAATAAAATGCAAAATAAACTCTTATTGCGCACTGACCTGGCTCTCACTGCTCTGCAACAACCTTGGGGAGATTTCGACTGGCGGACTGGCATTGGTTTGCCTGATGACCGACGTTGGATTTCAAAATTAAAAATACAACTTCGAGCGTTGAATTAAGCTCATGGTTATTTATATTAAATTTATCATTACACTTTATTATTAATCTTGTGGATTCTTCATTTAATAAAAATGCTCAAATAATATAATTTCGTAAAAAAAAACTTGGAAATTTTTAATCACTGAAGTAGGTTGCTTTATTATGAGAGATACTCAATTTTATAAGCCCCAGATAGTATTTTTAAGTGGTTGCAATTCAACTCTAAATTGCTTGATTTGTGCCAAATTTGATATGTATATTGCAAGCATAAAATATTTCGAAAAACTAATATTATTATTCTGATACTTGAAATATAAAATAGAAATCTCACCGAATTTTTTTCAAAGACGTCCATCTGGCTGTCGTTCACGGCTTTTCCAGAGTTATTGGGAAAAGCCGAGGGTGAAGATGGCAAGCGTCCTCGCACTCTGTTGTCCAAGGAGGCATCGCGGTCCCACCATTGGTGCTGAAGCCAAAACCGCCCTTCCAAGCTGACACGCTCAGGCAGGATCTGTGGAAATAAACTAAAGAACTTCCAAAATTATTCTCACTTTAAAGAAAAATCTAATAATAAATTTGTGTTACCCAAACACAAACTATTTCACATGCACGTCTTTCAAACTACTGAACTATTCTCACTAGCACTTTTTTCACTTTTAAAATTCTATTTTCACTATTAAATAGTAACATTCATTTAACCTACTTTATCTAACAAGAAATTATATTTCAGTCCGTTTGTAGAACACTTAGCCAATTGATTTGGTCACATTTAATATGTCTTGTACAAAGCATTTTAACAATCAACACTATCATTTTCATTCATGCGCCGTAGCTGCTCAATACTTCTAATTTTTAATCCTTGCATTCATATTCTACAATACAAAAGTAATGGGCAGAAAATTTGATGATTGAATTTAAAAAAATTTGTATTTAGTTTGCTGCGCATTCAAAATCATTCATATAAGCTTGTAAACAGAAACTTTCTGCATTATGCGGTCCTATTATAAATATCTTGCATCACTCGAATTTTGGAAAAGTTACAAGAGAACAATCAATACATTGGACTTGGCCACTTTAAATAAGATTTGTTTAGATTTTTCTTTTGGTAAAAAAATAACCACTTGCACTTCACTCACTGTTCATGCAAAAGCCGTCCTTAAAGTTCAAAGAAACATGCATTTTTACTTTTAATAAGTTATTTGGCCATTTTTTAATAAAGAAGTATTAAAGTGGAGTGGTTTGACATCCCGACAAACTTAAGCAGACATCCGCGGTACTGAGACTCACTTCCGGCTATTGTTCGGGGGCAGGGGCTCCCGGTTGCGCAACGTGGAAGGTGTTCGAGGAGGCAAGCCCGGCGTGACCAAAAATACTGGACTACACAAGGGTGCCAACAACGAACCCAACCTCTTTCACGCCCATTGCCACACTCATGACAACTCAATCTCATGAGTGCACCACGTCAGCATCAGTGTCATCTGAATTCTCCGCACCTCCCATGCGTTCAGACACAGGACTTTAGTCGCAACCAAGCCCTGGACACCAAATCGTGTTCCCGCATGGCGAATGCAGAAGCTCAATGGGTGGTTGTGATGCCTCGGCATTATTCACACACAAGCCATTCAGACGACGCATTGCCAGCGGTGGCGGGCAACGTCCCCTGTTAGGGGCGGCCTTCAGCTGTTGTCCGCTCCGTTGGACCGGTATCTGTTGCGGGTGCAACCACTCCATTACAAAAAGATAATTGGCATAAGTGCAGTTGCTTCATTTATACATTTTTTTTAGTAATAATGACAAAATTCACCCAGATAACTATTCATTAAACTTTAAATTTAAATTACAGTATAATAAAAATGAAAACATTGGGCTCTCAGGCAAAACTGGTAAAAGTGGGTGGAGGATGTTGCGCCTATCTGTGGCAAATGCACAACTCAACCTAGTCACATTACTGTCTTGATCGTCGCATGCAGAATTTATTTAAACCTACTTGAGGTCAAAGGAGCTCCGTCTTCTGCAGGTTTCAAAACTTGACCAAGAGCTTGGCACTGGCGGTGTCTGCCAAGTCCTCAAACACTGTTGACGAGTGGCGTTTCTCTTCGACCTGATTGAATTTAATATTTCTAATTAAAATTCCAATTATAAAAAACCGAGGATGCGGTTCTCATATATTATATAATATAATAATCTTCAATGTAATTAATTTATGTTAATGAGAACAATTACTGAATTTATTTTTTGTATGATTAAATGAGATTTTCTAATTAAATTAGAATTTAATTAATTCATGAAAATTGTATCCTTGGAATTACTTTGATTTGTTTCAAGAGTTAAGGTGTGCGACTAATCTTTGGCCAGAGCGCTTCTATGAAATAAAAATGCAAAAAAAATCCTATTGCACTACCTGCTCACTGCTCTGCAACAACCTTGGGGAGATTTCAACTGGCCGACTGGCATTGGTTTGCCTGGTGACCGACGGTGGTAGGCCATCACAACCTCGAAAGGATCTCATTTTTCCATTTCTGCCGCTCAATGTTGTCATTGGATTGGTTGAGGCCTAAAGAATTGAGAATTTATTAAAATAAATTTGATCCAAGAGTGTAAAAATTTGGGCGAGTTCCCTTACTTTTACTTTAAAATAAATAATGGAACTAGAAACTTCTATGCAAAGTATTTAATCAGCTTGAAACCCTTTTTAAAATAAGTAAAATATTTTATTTCAATTAGAGTAAAGCTGGTTGAAGATTTATTATTGATTGGCTATGCCAAATTCAACATGCAAGAGAAAAATAACAAAACAAATAATAATAATAAAAAAAAAAAATGATTTCATATTGATCCTGTGAAAATCAAAAGGACAAGGATCATATAAATGAAAACATTGGGCTCTTAGGCAAAACTGGTAAAAGTGGGTGGAGGATTTTGCGCCTATCTGTGGCAAATGCACAAAACTCAACCTAGTCACTTTACTCGTCTTGATCGTCGCATGCTTGAGAATAGATTTAAACCTACTTGAGGTCAAAGGAGCTCTGTGTACTGAAGGTTTCAAAACTTGAGCAAAAGCCTAGAACTGCGGTGTCTGCCAAGTCCTCAAACACTGTTGACGAGTGGCGTTTCTCTTCGACCTGACTGAATTTAATAATTCTAATTAAAATTCCAATTATAAAAAGCCTAGCATGCTGTGCTCGTATATAACATTTATAATCTTGAATGTAATAAGGCTTGCATTTATTTTAATGAGAACAATATCTGAATTTGTTTTAATTGTTTTGTTTTCTAGTGGCGTTTCTCTTCGACCTGACTGAATTTAATAATTCTAATTAAAATTCCAATTATAAAAAGCCTAGCATGCTGTTCTCGTATATAACATTTATAATCTTGAATGTAATAAGGCTTGCATTTATTTTAATGAGAACAATATCTGAATTTGTTTTAATTGTTTTGTTTTCTAATTAAATTAGAATTTAATTCATGAAAATTGTATCCTTTGAATTAGTTTGATTTAGGATTGATTAGGATAGATTATTAGTTTCAAGAGTTAAGGTGTGCAAGAGCGCTTCTATAAAATAAAATGCAAAATAAACTCTTATTGCGCACTGACCTGGCTCTCACTGCTCTGCAACAACCTTGGGGAGATTTCGACTGGCGGACTGGCATTGGTTTGCCTGATGACCGACGTTGGATTTCAAAATTAAAAATACAACTTCGAGCGTTGAATTAAGCTCATGGTTATTTATATTAAATTTATCATTACACTTTATTATTAATCTTGTGGATTCTTCATTTAATAAAAATGCTCAAATAATATAATTTCGTAAAAAAAAACTTGGAAATTTTTAATCACTGAAGTAGGTTGCTTTATTATGAGAGATACTCAATTTTATAAGCCCCAGATAGTATTTTTAAGTGGTTGCAATTCAACTCTAAATTGCTTGATTTGTGCCAAATTTGATATGTATATTGCAAGCATAAAATATTTCGAAAAACTAATATTATTATTCTGATACTTGAAATATAAAATAGAAATCTCACCGAATTTTTTTCAAAGACGTCCATCTGGCTGTCGTTCACGGCTTTTCCAGAGTTATTGGGAAAAGCCGAGGGTGAAGATGGCAAGCGTCCTCGCACTCTGTTGTCCAAGGAGGCATCGCGGTCCCACCATTGGTGCTGAAGCCAAAACCGCCCTTCCAAGCTGACACGCTCAGGCAGGATCTGTGGAAATAAACTAAAGAACTTCCAAAATTATTCTCACTTTAAAGAAAAATCTAATAATAAATTTGTGTTACCCAAACACAAACTATTTCACATGCACGTCTTTCAAACTACTGAACTATTCTCACTAGCACTTTTTTCACTTTTAAAATTCTATTTTCACTATTAAATAGTAACATTCATTTAACCTACTTTATCTAACAAGAAATTATATTTCAGTCCGTTTGTAGAACACTTAGCCAATTGATTTGGTCACATTTAATATGTCTTGTACAAAGCATTTTAACAATCAACACTATCATTTTCATTCATGCGCCGTAGCTGCTCAATACTTCTAATTTTTAATCCTTGCATTCATATTCTACAATACAAAAGTAATGGGCAGAAAATTTGATGATTGAATTTAAAAAAATTTGTATTTAGTTTGCTGCGCATTCAAAATCATTCATATAAGCTTGTAAACAGAAACTTTCTGCATTATGCGGTCCTATTATAAATATCTTGCATCACTCGAATTTTGGAAAAGTTACAAGAGAACAATCAATACATTGGACTTGGCCACTTTAAATAAGATTTGTTTAGATTTTTCTTTTGGTAAAAAAATAACCACTTGCACTTCACTCACTGTTCATGCAAAAGCCGTCCTTAAAGTTCAAAGAAACATGCATTTTTACTTTTAATAAGTTATTTGGCCATTTTTTAATAAAGAAGTATTAAAGTGGAGTGGTTTGACATCCCGACAAACTTAAGCAGACATCCGCGGTACTGAGACTCACTTCCGGCTATTGTTCGGGGGCAGGGGCTCCCGGTTGCGCAACGTGGAAGGTGTTCGAGGAGGCAAGCCCGGCGTGACCAAAAATACTGGACTACACAAGGGTGCCAACAACGAACCCAACCTCTTTCACGCCCATTGCCACACTCATGACAACTCAATCTCATGAGTGCACCACGTCAGCATCAGTGTCATCTGAATTCTCCGCACCTCCCATGCGTTCAGACACAGGACTTTAGTCGCAACCAAGCCCTGGACACCAAATCGTGTTCCCGCATGGCGAATGCAGAAGCTCAATGGGTGGTTGTGATGCCTCGGCATTATTCACACACAAGCCATTCAGACGACGCATTGCCAGCGGTGGCGGGCAACGTCCCCTGTTAGGGGCGGCCTTCAGCTGTTGTCCGCTCCGTTGGACCGGTATCTGTTGCGGGTGCAACCACTCCATTACAAAAAGATAATTGGCATAAGTGCAGTTGCTTCATTTATACATTTTTTTTTAGTAATAATGACAAAATTCACCCAGATAACTATTCATTAAACTTTAAATTTAAATTACAGTATAATAAAAATGAAAACATTGGGCTCTCAGGCAAAACTGGTAAAAGTGGGTGGAGGATGTTGCGCCTATCTGTGGCAAATGCACAACTCAACCTAGTCACATTACTGTCTTGATCGTCGCATGCAGAATTTATTTAAACCTACTTGAGGTCAAAGGAGCTCCGTCTTCTGCAGGTTTCAAAACTTGACCAAGAGCTTGGCACTGGCGGTGTCTGCCAAGTCCTCAAACACTGTTGACGAGTGGCGTTTCTCTTCGACCTGATTGAATTTAATATTTCTAATTAAAATTCCAATTATAAAAAACCGAGGATGCGGTTCTCATATATTATATAATATAATAATCTTCAATGTAATTAATTTATGTTAATGAGAACAATTACTGAATTTATTTTTTGTATGATTAAATGAGATTTTCTAATTAAATTAGAATTTAATTAATTCATGAAAATTGTATCCTTGGAATTACTTTGATTTGTTTCAAGAGTTAAGGTGTGCGACTAATCTTTGGCCAGAGCGCTTCTATGAAATAAAAATGCAAAAAAAATCCTATTGCACTACCTGCTCACTGCTCTGCAACAACCTTGGGGAGATTTCAACTGGCCGACTGGCATTGGTTTGCCTGGTGACCGACGGTGGTAGGCCATCACAACCTCGAAAGGATCTCATTTTTCCATTTCTGCCGCTCAATGTTGTCATTGGATTGGTTGAGGCCTAAAGAATTGAGAATTTATTAAAATAAATTTGATCCAAGAGTGTAAAAATTTGGGCGAGTTCCCTTACTTTTACTTTAAAATAAATAATGGAACTAGAAACTTCTATGCAAAGTATTTAATCAGCTTGAAACCCTTTTTAAAATAAGTAAAATATTTTATTTCAATTAGAGTAAAGCTGGTTGAAGATTTATTATTGATTGGCTATGCCAAATTCAACATGCAAGAGAAAAATAACAAAACAAATAATAATAATAAAAAAAAAAAATGATTTCATATTGATCCTGTGAAAATCAAAAGGACAAGGATCATATAAATGAAAACATTGGGCTCTTAGGCAAAACTGGTAAAAGTGGGTGGAGGATTTTGCGCCTATCTGTGGCAAATGCACAAAACTCAACCTAGTCACTTTACTCGTCTTGATCGTCGCATGCTTGAGAATAGATTTAAACCTACTTGAGGTCAAAGGAGCTCTGTGTACTGAAGGTTTCAAAACTTGAGCAAAAGCCTAGAACTGCGGTGTCTGCCAAGTCCTCAAACACTGTTGACGAGTGGCGTTTCTCTTCGACCTGACTGAATTTAATAATTCTAATTAAAATTCCAATTATAAAAAGCCTAGCATGCTGTGCTCGTATATAACATTTATAATCTTGAATGTAATAAGGCTTGCATTTATTTTAATGAGAACAATATCTGAATTTGTTTTAATTGTTTTGTTTTCTAGTGGCGTTTCTCTTCGACCTGACTGAATTTAATAATTCTAATTAAAATTCCAATTATAAAAAGCCTAGCATGCTGTTCTCGTATATAACATTTATAATCTTGAATGTAATAAGGCTTGCATTTATTTTAATGAGAACAATATCTGAATTTGTTTTAATTGTTTTGTTTTCTAATTAAATTAGAATTTAATTCATGAAAATTGTATCCTTTGAATTAGTTTGATTTAGGATTGATTAGGATAGATTATTAGTTTCAAGAGTTAAGGTGTGCAAGAGCGCTTCTATAAAATAAAATGCAAAATAAACTCTTATTGCGCACTGACCTGGCTCTCACTGCTCTGCAACAACCTTGGGGAGATTTCGACTGGCGGACTGGCATTGGTTTGCCTGATGACCGACGTTGGATTTCAAAATTAAAAATACAACTTCGAGCGTTGAATTAAGCTCATGGTTATTTATATTAAATTTATCATTACACTTTATTATTAATCTTGTGGATTCTTCATTTAATAAAAATGCTCAAATAATATAATTTCGTAAAAAAAAACTTGGAAATTTTTAATCACTGAAGTAGGTTGCTTTATTATGAGAGATACTCAATTTTATAAGCCCCAGATAGTATTTTTAAGTGGTTGCAATTCAACTCTAAATTGCTTGATTTGTGCCAAATTTGATATGTATATTGCAAGCATAAAATATTTCGAAAAACTAATATTATTATTCTGATACTTGAAATATAAAATAGAAATCTCACCGAATTTTTTTCAAAGACGTCCATCTGGCTGTCGTTCACGGCTTTTCCAGAGTTATTGGGAAAAGCCGAGGGTGAAGATGGCAAGCGTCCTCGCACTCTGTTGTCCAAGGAGGCATCGCGGTCCCACCATTGGTGCTGAAGCCAAAACCGCCCTTCCAAGCTGACACGCTCAGGCAGGATCTGTGGAAATAAACTAAAGAACTTCCAAAATTATTCTCACTTTAAAGAAAAATCTAATAATAAATTTGTGTTACCCAAACACAAACTATTTCACATGCACGTCTTTCAAACTACTGAACTATTCTCACTAGCACTTTTTTCACTTTTAAAATTCTATTTTCACTATTAAATAGTAACATTCATTTAACCTACTTTATCTAACAAGAAATTATATTTCAGTCCGTTTGTAGAACACTTAGCCAATTGATTTGGTCACATTTAATATGTCTTGTACAAAGCATTTTAACAATCAACACTATCATTTTCATTCATGCGCCGTAGCTGCTCAATACTTCTAATTTTTAATCCTTGCATTCATATTCTACAATACAAAAGTAATGGGCAGAAAATTTGATGATTGAATTTAAAAAAATTTGTATTTAGTTTGCTGCGCATTCAAAATCATTCATATAAGCTTGTAAACAGAAACTTTCTGCATTATGCGGTCCTATTATAAATATCTTGCATCACTCGAATTTTGGAAAAGTTACAAGAGAACAATCAATACATTGGACTTGGCCACTTTAAATAAGATTTGTTTAGATTTTTCTTTTGGTAAAAAAATAACCACTTGCACTTCACTCACTGTTCATGCAAAAGCCGTCCTTAAAGTTCAAAGAAACATGCATTTTTACTTTTAATAAGTTATTTGGCCATTTTTTAATAAAGAAGTATTAAAGTGGAGTGGTTTGACATCCCGACAAACTTAAGCAGACATCCGCGGTACTGAGACTCACTTCCGGCTATTGTTCGGGGGCAGGGGCTCCCGGTTGCGCAACGTGGAAGGTGTTCGAGGAGGCAAGCCCGGCGTGACCAAAAATACTGGACTACACAAGGGTGCCAACAACGAACCCAACCTCTTTCACGCCCATTGCCACACTCATGACAACTCAATCTCATGAGTGCACCACGTCAGCATCAGTGTCATCTGAATTCTCCGCACCTCCCATGCGTTCAGACACAGGACTTTAGTCGCAACCAAGCCCTGGACACCAAATCGTGTTCCCGCATGGCGAATGCAGAAGCTCAATGGGTGGTTGTGATGCCTCGGCATTATTCACACACAAGCCATTCAGACGACGCATTGCCAGCGGTGGCGGGCAACGTCCCCTGTTAGGGGCGGCCTTCAGCTGTTGTCCGCTCCGTTGGACCGGTATCTGTTGCGGGTGCAACCACTCCATTACAAAAAGATAATTGGCATAAGTGCAGTTGCTTCATTTATACATTTTTTTTAGTAATAATGACAAAATTCACCCAGATAACTATTCATTAAACTTTAAATTTAAATTACAGTATAATAAAAATGAAAACATTGGGCTCTCAGGCAAAACTGGTAAAAGTGGGTGGAGGATGTTGCGCCTATCTGTGGCAAATGCACAACTCAACCTAGTCACATTACTGTCTTGATCGTCGCATGCAGAATTTATTTAAACCTACTTGAGGTCAAAGGAGCTCCGTCTTCTGCAGGTTTCAAAACTTGACCAAGAGCTTGGCACTGGCGGTGTCTGCCAAGTCCTCAAACACTGTTGACGAGTGGCGTTTCTCTTCGACCTGATTGAATTTAATAATTCTAATTAAAATTCCAATTATAAAGAGCTGAGGATGCTGTTCTCATATATAATATAATAATCTTAATGTAATAAGGCCTGCATTTATTTTAATGAGAACAATTTAATTTTTGAATTTGTTTTATGATTCAATGAGTTTTTGTAATTAAATTAGAATTTAATTCATGAAAATTTTTTATTCTTTGAATTAGTTTCATTTCTTTCAAGAGTTAAGGTGTGCGACTAATATCTTTGGCCAGAGCGCTTCTATGAAATAAAAATGCAAAAAAACTCCTATATTGCACTGACCTGGCTCTCACTGCTCTGCAACAACCTTGGGGAGATTTCGACTGGCCGACTGGCATTGGTTTGCCTGGTGACCGACGGTGGTAGGCCATCACAACCTCGAAAGGATCTCATTTTTCCATTTCTGCCGCTCAATGTTGTCGTTGGATTGGTTGAGGCATTGGATTGGTTGAGACCTAAAGAATTGAGAATTTATTAAAATAAATTTGATCCAAGAGTGTAAAAATTTGGGCGAGTTCCCTTTCTTATACTTTAAAATAAATAATGGAACTAGAAACTTCTATGCAAAATATTTATTCCGCTTGAAACCTTTTTAAAATAAGTTAAATATTTTATTTTAATTGGAGTAAAGCTGCGGTTGAAGATTTATTATTGATTGGCTATGCCAAATTCAACATGGAAGAGAAAAATAACAAAACAAGTAATAATAAAGTGATTTCAATGATCCTGACGATCCTGTGAAAATTAAAAGGAAAAGGATTATTCTCACCAAAAAAAGTATTGTTGATGACCCTGGTTGATGCCCATGCGGCGTTGTTGAAGTTGTTGGACAAAGCCGTCGGCGAGAGTTTTCCGAAGAAAGCATTATGTTCCAACAAGGCTGAACACGTGGCCGCTGCCCACTTGTTGTGTTGAAGTCCGAGTGACCTGTTAAAAATTTTCAAAAATTAATGATTTATTTTAATGACGATGAAACTAAAAATGCATTAATCTCATGTTTTTGTATTAAAAGTACACATTATAATGAGCTTTTTTATATTTAAATCAAAACAACGAGACGAGAGGGAAGGTATTTAAAATTTTGACAATTCAAATTTAACGACCAAAATCAGCATTGAAAATGTGACATTTTTTGAATAGCCGCACTCCGTCAACGTATAACTGGATGTGATTTCACGAGCAAGTTCAGGAGAACGATGAAACAAAGTCGGGGAATCGAAAAGCAATTTTTCAACTGAAAAACGCACGCGATTTATGAGACGGGGCGCCGTTGAAACAATACCTTAGGGTCAGGGTGGGGTCAGGCCTCAATTTCCATGCGGTGGACAGGTCTGACGAACCCTGAGAGAGCCGCTTTCGTGGAGAAAATGCCAGCATCACGCGGATCACACAAGCGACAGCGCCGCCATGTTTGCGACTGCGGCCGGAAGCGCGAGCACCAAGAAAGGGGCGAGAGGGGATTACAGGTGAAGTAAAGGTGATGCTAAAATTAATATTTCTCCACGCTTATTTAATTATTTCTCCGATATTTAACGCGCTTAAACTAAATATTTTATCTTGCGAAAAAGCAAAGTGTCATTTGAGTTCACGTTCAGTGGGGTCTCGGTGTCTCGAATACGCAGATTTACAAAATTATTGCTGCCTGACAAGAACACGCGCGCCGTGCACATGGAAAAATACGTGCAATTCGATTAATTATGGGCCTCAATGGGACCTACCTGGGGTGAAGTCATGAGTGCGGACTTGTCAGCGTGGTCTCCGCGGTGAGAAGATCCATTTTTCTTCGTAATTCGGCGAATGCGGTTTGATTTCTGTCAGTTTCGCCCGATTTTTCTTCAAGCGAGAAAGTTCTGGATCTAGAAATCTGGACTGGACTGGAAGACACGCCGGCGCTTGTTCTTGCCGGTCGAGCGAGAAAAGGAAAAGAGGGAGGGTCGGAGGCGCTCGGCCGGTCGCCCACACACTCTCTCGCTTTTTGCATTCCTTTGCCTTTGTGTGCTCAACACACGTCCTTGGAAAGGAAAAATGACAAGTCAGATGAAATTATTCAGGAATAATTGAGTTTATAAAATTGGGCCCATGAATGATTGTCTCAACGCACTAACCGCACTCAAAGTAGTTGTCACGTAGCTATTAAAATTTTATATTTTAAAGTCAATGTAATTTTTAGTAAATTAATAAATTTCAACATTAAAAATAAAACTTCGAGCTTTGAATTTAATTCAAGGTTATTCATATTAAATTTTTCATTGTTTTTTTTGTAAAAAGTTTTTTGATGAGGGGGGGGGGGGAGTCCCAAGACCTTTGCATCACTTCCTGAATATCGTCTCCTCATCGGTTTGCATTTCATTTCTCTTGAAAATGAATAGCTCTTGGAATAAAATAAAAGTAAAGATTTGCTGATAAAATTTCATGTGTTTATTAAGTTTATTGTTAGTGTTAGAATCCATATAAAGGATTTTTTAAACTTTTCAGAGTTAATTTACAAATCGCAAACAGATTTTTTGCAAGCCCGTCTTTAAAAAAAAATTGACCTCCCATCTTCAGTTACTGCCGAACACCGTCAAACACTAATTAGACAGAGAGACGCGTGTACGGCTGCAAATATTTGTTTATCATAAAAACGCATATACATGAATCTCCATATTCGGACGAGTAGCCTATTTATTCTTAATTTAGACTTTTAAATTTGCACAATGTACTGACAATTAAATCTCATAAGTCTTCGTCTGGTATTATTTCTGCACGCGCGTATGCTAAAAATAATTATTTGGTTGGACTTGGCGGTAGAGAACAAAATTTGATAAGGTGCAATCTAACGTGAGAAGGTTACGCTGTATACGAATATATGCTCGTGTGTGTGTTCCAAGAGGCAGCCAGCGCAAATTGTTTGTTCGTCGCTGAAATAATTAATACAGGCGCGCGTTTGCGTATTGCAAAACGCACGTCGCGTGTTTGTTTTTCGTGCTGCTCTTTCTCCCTCTCGCTATTTCTATAAATAATATCACAAAAGAAGAAAAGAAGAGTCTTTTAATCTTTTGCAATCAGAGATAATTATTATTTTAGGAAATGAAACGTAGGCAAACGTCATGACTGAGAATAAAGCCAGAGCCTGCCTCTTTAAACGTTATTTAAGCTTTCTTCTCCAAAATTGAAAAGTGATACAAAATGATGATAGAAACCAGTCGTATAGTGTCAGCAAATAAGTCAGAAAACATTTGTTACAAACTATCGTTCAAATTAGAATTTTTAATTTTCTGATGTATTTTTTATTATTATTATTTATTCTTCTCGGTCAATACTAAAATTTTTAATTTTGGAAAAAAAAGAGAAGAAATTTAAGGGTTTTTGTTTTTTTAAATTTGTTATGCTATATTATTATAATATTCCCTTGATTTCAAAGCAAAACACGTTAAAATTTATTCATTTTAATTTTTGTATGCAAAAACTGAACTTTACTTTAAACTGCTTTAAACATTAAATTTCTAATAAAATATATAGTGAATTTTACAGAATATTTAATTTTTATTTTATTAATGTAAACATTTTAATACTAGTCACAATTCACTTGATCAGTTTTAAAATTTAATAATGATCGAATTATTGAAATTTTTATAACTTGGTAAAAAATACATATAATTTTGCTGCTTTTTCTATTATTGTGAAAGTAAAAGAAAAAAAAATTCCAGAGGCAAAAGAAATTTGCCCTTTATTCACTGTCATTACTCTCTTTACGACTCTCTTCAAAATAGCCTTAATAGCCGGTCCTCTTCTTATTGTTGGGAATATATTTATTCGTGGGTTCACTCTACGTCGAGTCTGGAGCCACTGTGTGTATTTTATCAGCACTGACTATTTGTCTTTGATAGGCGCTCGGCCGCGGCGGCGATCCAGACCGGCCGAATCGCACTGCTCAGTTGGTTTCTCGCACGCGGGTCACCCTATTCAACCGGAGGCTGCACACCCAACTTTCACAAGCAGCAGGTGAGTGTCCCATCCCCAAACGAGGTCACACAGGTCGAGTACGTGCTTAACTATCAGGAAAAATTGGAGTGAACTTATTCATTTAACTTGAAAATGCAAAGAGAGAACAGCAAACCTATATTTACATAGAAAATGAATACTTAATATTCTTAGTTTATTTCAATCATAAATTTATTCAAGAATTTTTTAATCGTGGTTATGTTTTATTTTGCTGTTTTTTCCAATATTTATGAAATTTTTCCGTTGCTGATTTAATGTATTTTATTTAATTAATGCATTGGCTTTTGGCCTACATATTATGCAGTTAAGTTTCCTCTTCCGCAAATCGAGTAGGTTTCGCTTCCCTCCCTTAATAGAGTTATTTGCATCGCCGCAGTCGAGCATTCAGCGGGAATGGCACTCCCGAACTAATCAGCGTGCAATTTGTTCTCTCGGGTCGATTCGAAGAATGGCTGATTGCAATCAAAGCAAATTGCGACCCACTTTCGTCCTGTAATTCAACTAATTTGATTGAATATAAAGCAAAAGCGCGGCTCTTCCATAAATGCCATAATACACAGCAGGGGAGATTTTGCTGACAGGAAGCAACACACGCTCTTCAATATCCCGAATCCAGGCCAACGCTTATTCATAACCACAAAAATTATTAATTCAGATGCTATTAAAAGAGCCAATCTGTCTGATGCCGGCGAGAGATAAAGAGTTATTTTGACTCACCATCTTGATTTCTTGATTGAGAAATTATTCACGGGAGAAAGAGATGAAGCGCTTCCGTGTATTTTGAATTGCTTTGTTGACTCAGGTTAATCTCTCATCACAAAAGGGACGCGTGGTTGACGAATCGGTCTCTTCAAACACACGCGCATGTCTTTTCAGTGAGAGTCAACAACGGCACTGATTTCATTCGGACCATTAAATATACAGAAGGCCTTTGCACTCATAAAAATATACATCTGGAAAAATTATAAAATATACCGCGTAATAATGACTAGAGTTTTAAAGGAGTATAAAATGCATGGAGATTGCCTTGTATTTCACCAATAATCTTAATTTGCAAGAAAAAAAATGCATGGAAGCTACAAAAACAAATATATATGCAATTGTAAATGAAGAGATCGGGCTTATCCTCGTTGCAAACGAGAAATAGCCTGATCCCTTCATTTCCATGATCATCTCCTCGAGTGTCAATTCCAACAAATATAATATAACTATTATATAGTATTATCCAAAACATTTAAGATTAAAAAAAAAAAATGACTGATAAGAATTTACATAAAAATTCAATACATTCACAAGTTAAACTGATTTAGAAACTAAAATGAATTAATTCACATTGTATGTTTTCAAGAATGATAATATTTTTTCTATTCACTTTTAAATATACATATATATATATATCATAATGACGAATAATTTCTTTAGGATTAGTTGTTGTTTTTAATTTTCTTCCTTGTAATTTTTGGAAAAAATGTTTCGCTAACGATTTTTCAATATTCTCTCTCATTGATTAATATGGGACTTCTGTTGGTATATAGTCAAAACTATATCAAGCGGAACAAGTTGACAAAGTTGACACTCGAGGAGATGATTATGGAGATGAGGCGGAATTTCTTTGAAAATAAAAAGCAGTGTTCTTAAAGAGGAAGAACCCAGTCCATAATGTATCATCAACATTTTTTTCTGGTGCGAAGCTCGTAAAATTTAATTCGGTGTAGATTAAGTTTCGCTTGTAGCTACTAAAAAGCATAATATATTATATTATTTTACGCATATGTATTTTATGTGGAAATATTTCAATTCCTGAGCGCAGCGCAGTTGTGCTTCTCGCCTTGAGGTAAAGTCACTCCTTAGACAACGGAAAATGAATGTGCCCTACATTACACCGCGTCCCACGCAGCAGTAAACAAAGCGCAATAAATTCATGAACAAACAACTAAACACCTAATTAAACTAGAGTCTAGAGACGAGACGCACTGCTCCTCGTGACTCTGTGCGCACCGACGCTGCAAAGTGTGGCAATTTGTCCTTACACAGACCGGCGAGGAAAATTTGTCAAATTCACTTATCGCATCAAGCATCAATTTGGCATCATTACTGTTGTAATAAAAAACTCGTATTTGAAAAAAAAATCTATTAATTTTAAATAGAAAAATATAAAATGAGACATTTATTTAACAACTGATTGATTTTTATAGTTTTTTTGCTTGTGTTTGAATTTAAATGTGTCTTTTATTTAAAATTGCTTTATAATATACAATCAATAAATCTCATACAAGTCCATCTATGAGATATCAAAACATGATGGATCAACCCTCGATCGGGAATATCTTTATATAAAAAAAACAATTATTGATTTAACTAAATCTTACAATTAGCTTATAATTTGTATTCAATCAAATATGATTGAGTCGCTTATCTTCATTAATTTATTTCGGCTCTATTTCAAATTTCGAAAATTTCTCACCAACACGTCTAGCAATTTTAAATCTTTGTAACAATAAAATATTAGTATTTAATTATTTTCAAAAAGTCTGAATCGGTGATTATTTGGGGAGAACAATTGAATCTAGATAAATTCAACAAGCTTAATTTCATTGAATTTCATTTATTTAAACTGCCTCAAAAAGACATCAAAATCCATTGAATAGTATATTAGTTGATAAATTTAGTTCATGTTCCTTTTAAAATCTCGATCAGTTTGTAGTTATACATTAATTGTTACCTCAAGAATCACTAAATGACTTCATATATTTTCCAACATTTTTTATGCCAAGCATGATTCCTCTGATTTCCCCCTTTTATGTACTGTGTACTTCTTTTTTTATGCATGTCAAGTACCATGAGTGGAGAATAAATAAAATTAATAATTGAATTAATCACACTTTCCATTAAAATGAGCGTAGAAGTAACAAATATACAAGATTGCATAATTTCTTTCTTGGATAATATTGACCCCTTTAAATTGTTTTGCATGCTCAGCAAAATCCACAGACACATTTTATATTTTTATTTACTATCATTTTGCCGTTTTCCGGCCCTTGCTTTTCCCTTCTGAAAAGCAGCGTCATCAAAAGTTCAAAAGTCACGCTCCAAATCAGCCGGCTCGTTGACAGGCAATCAACAGAGTCGAACTTTTTGACGGACGCGTATTCCACTCTGCCGTGCTCAAAGTGGACGCGTTTGACAAATGAGCAAAAACTCGCTGCCGACTGCGATGCTCACGTTTTGCCCATTCGCATGACTGTACTGCCACGACGGTAATTGTTTTTAATTGGAGTGTGCTCCACTCATTTTTCGCGAGGGGAAAAACAAAAAAAGTGCGCGCAATTACATCCTAAAACTCAGGCAGTAATTACACTTTTGCTGCTTCTTTTTGCGCGGTGAAATTCGCGTTTGATGAGTTTTGCGTGGTGGTAATAAAGCCGGCCTAATCCCAATTTAATCTTCTTAGAGTGTGCGCAGCGGCCAAAACATAAAAAGATATGGAGAGTAAAAATGCGCCGCAGTTCGCAGACCGCTCTTGGGTTGCCAAAAAAAATTGCAATTGCGTATACAAAGCTGCGGTTTTTTAATGGAAACCTCTGCCATTTTCATACATGAAATTTTCTCTGCCGAAATGTATGGAAAACAATGCTGTGTTGTTTCACACTGCACTGGAAAAGAGTTGGATGGTTAATTATGCACGCATAAACGAGGCCGATTTTGCAAATCGAGTCTCAACACAACACACTGTACCATGCGGAACTAACAACAACGAGACCCAGCAGCATATTCAAAGCGTTTCCTCCCTGAAGCATCTCCCTTACTTGATTAATTCATAAACTCAAACCCATTTGTATCGGCCAATCGTATATACTATGGAGAGTTTCTGTTTTGTTATGCACAAACAAAATAAATGGGAATTATTTTACATTAACGTCCGGCGACAAACACAAAAAAATCATGAATTATAATTATTAAAATGAATATTCATTTTAATTTATTATAGCAAAATTTTGCTACATTCACACAGAAAAGTTATAAAATTGATCAACATCAAGCATTCCAAAAGATAATATTTAATTATTGAAAATTTTTTAAATTTATAGACCTTGGATTAAAATAAAAAATTAGATTCTCAGACAGCAATATATAGCATAATTATTAATATTAATAAAATTAATAATAAAATTTATGAAACTTGCTTTCGTTCTCCATTTCATGGCACCAGCTTGGCATGTAGGGTTAATTTAGAAACTCTTTCTAATTTGAAGTAAGTTTTAATTATAGAGCTGGCTTCCAATTCACTCCCAAAATGTTTTTTTCCTGTATGGACCTGTTGTGAGAAAATAAACGAATTGAAAATGCGTGATGCTAAAAATGTAAATTCCAAAATTTTCTTACAATTTTTCCTAAAAGTTATATCCTTCGCAAATGTTTATTATTTTTTTTTTAACCGACTTAAGGCTCATCAATATGGCTGTGGACGCGACAACGAATGGCGAAAGCAAAGAACAGGCACTGGAACCTGATGAGGCACCATCGACGATCGGAGGCAAAATAATGCAACGGCTGCACATCAACCCCAACCTATTGATGCTCAAAGTCACTCTCTTTTTACTTTACGGGGGTGAGAATACTGCATTTTAATTTTGAAACTCCACACTCTTAATATTTATTAATCCAATTTCGCTTTAATATTGTTCAGCCGTCGCTTCGTTACTGCCATATTTGACAATCCACATGCAGAGCATCGGTCTGACCGTAGAGGAAATTTCCATTATTTACCTGGCGCTACCCTTCACCACCTTCTTAAGCCCACCGTTGACAGGTAAGTGAACAAAACCGTGAATGTTTTAGGGTAATTTGACCGTCGGCCATATCGATTTAGCTGCGTTGCGGCAAAATTTTGGATTACCCAGAGCGCTCTGTGAAAATAACAAACTCCCTTGGGTGCAAATCATAAGCGAATTAATGCTCGCGACCACCGGTTGTCGTCCGTCCATGAGTGGTTACGCAAAGAGAACTTTTTGAGATCGATACGGCTGTAAACTCTAAATCTAGATAGAATGAATATTTTATCCCTCTATAAATAAAAATTATGGATGTAAATTTTATTTTTTCAAATTGTGTCATTCTGATAAAATTTCAAAAAAGTCAGATAGGAAATGAGTTTGCTTATTATTTTTTAAGAAATTCGGATAATTTTTTAACTAAATTTTAATCTACTGATCTTTTTTGAGACTGTTGAATTCCTGCAAATAATTTTTTTTTAAATAGCGACTTTTTGCCAGTTTAAAAGTTCATATTTTTAATTAATAGGTAATAAAATCAGAATGTTCAAGGATTTATGAAGATGATTAAAAATTAAATTATTGATTAAGTCGCGTGGGCAATTATTTGAAGTCTCATTATAAACGTCTCTCTATTTTGTTGATGATGAGTGGGCCGAGTTAGAACACATCAGAGAGATTTTAAAAAACCTTTTTCTTGGCGGCTCACGTGAAGGAAAATGTGAATGAGAGTATGAAAAGCTTCAGCTGCTCGTCTCGCCACGTGAGGAGTGAAGCAGCCTAATGAGCAGTCTCGCCGTGGCTCAGATTGAAAGGGAAAAAAGAAAAGGTTGAAGGCGTGAGACGTTTAATTGAACGAATTCATGGTGCGAGAAACTGACAAAAGGAAAGGCGAAAAGAAGGTCTTTGCTCTTTTCCGACGCTGAGAATCAAATCAGGGCTGAATTGTATAGAGGTTGATTACGAAAATGGGCGCCACTTGCAGATGCTGCACAAAAGTAGCGCGTCATGTTATTGATTATTAATATATTTTAATAATAATAAATTATAAAATAATTTGTAAAATAAAAATTAAGAGAATTTTATTTAAATGTCTAAATTGTCAACAAGATCACTTTAAAGTATTCTTGTTGACAATTTAGACTCCTCTTTCTTCCTCAACTAAAATTAACTGATTTGCGTATCTGAAAGTAAATTCTGCATTTTATTTTTATTTTCAACATTTTTATTTAGTTTTCTAATTTTTTTTATTAGTTTAATATTTTTACTAATTGTTATTTCAGGTTCAATTTTGAGAATGAACAAACAGTTTGAATCTAGATATGCTATTAAAAGAAACCAACATTTTTTTAAATGCAAGCAAAGTGTTATTTCTACAGATATTCTGGCTAGCTAAAATTTTAAATTTAAAGAACCTATGTTTGATTAAACTTCATTGATTGAAAGAAACCTTTACCTGGTCTGATAATGAAAGAATAGAGAGGATATTTTCGTCAGTTAGTTACTCTAAATAGAGCTGCTGAAAAATGTCATTTGCCGCAGCTGCTTAATTCACTTACGGCCACTCTCAATAACGCCAGTTGTAATTTTCACAAGCTCTGAATTCGTCAAAAGAACCGCGCCTAGCTCTCTTTCATTCTTCAAGTGAAGGGGAAGCCTATCTGAACGAGTCGATCGCTGCGTCGCCAATCCACTCACTCACTCTCTCCTCTGTCTCGTCAGTCAGACTTCATTACAGAGAAGAGATAATTTTCTCATTTTCTGGCGCGCTCTAAAAGAATTCGACTCAGTTCTCAGTTGCGAGTGGAGTCGCGAAATTAGATTGCCTCGACTGCGATGTCGAACAAGCAGTCGTCGCCGCCGCGTTTTGATCATTTGCATGTCAAAAGAAGACTTAATGAGATTCTTGGGCCCTTTTTATTAAATTCTAATTAAACGCAGCAGCCAACAAGCTTGTTTCGCCTCTTTCACTTCCTGCTGCACCGCCGAGACACCGAGAAGAGACGGAACCAAGTGGAACTTCTGCAAAAGGGGTTATATTTTTGCCCTTACGAAAGAGAGAAAAGCTCAGGGGCAGCAGACCCGCTCAACACGAAGGACGTGCAGGTTGCATAACTGCAAAAAGTACAGGCGCTCAGTGGTACATTATGAAATCACGAAAATAATTTTGTTGCAAAATATTTCCTGCGAGGAGAATAAGTACAAAAAATTATTGGGGGAGATTCACTAGAGATGTCCTCCCCGGGAGAACTTTTGTCCCGGGAGGATAGTGGCGGGACAAATTTTAGATCAGCTCTAAAAATTTAGCACTTTCGAGCGGGAGGAAATGAAAATATGTACATTATGAATAAGTTATTTTAATCAAAAGTAAAATTGAGGAAAAGAATTAGGTTTTTTTTTATCTCCAAAGATAACGAATCAATTTTGTATCTCAAGATAGTCAAGATGAATTAATTTTATACAAAAATGCTATAATTTATTTAATGAAATTTGAATTTTCTTCTCATCGAAGGCTTCCTGGTGGACAAATTCGGCCAGTACAAGCCGGTGGTGGTTTTGGCGTTCATCCTGAACGCCGCCTTCCACCACGCGCTGCTGCTAATCCCACCGATGGAAACCCCGGGCGAGGTTCCGCCCGCTTACATCGCTCGTCACCCTGTGTCCGGTCTGATGGAAGTCTGGTGGAGTCCTTGCCCCAGCAGGGAGTGTCCTAACGAAGAGGAGTTGCAGGTTGTGCTGGAAAGGTGCTTCAGCCACTGCGATTTGCTCATGTCCGCATCTCACCACGTGGTAAGTACATTTTCAAAGAGACATTTTTTCTTTGCTATTGAAAAAATAAACACGGATAATTATACGAATTGTGTCATTTTGATTACAAATATCAAATTTTTTGAACCACTTTTCTAGATTTTTAAATTATGAAATCAATCATGATATTTTTGTATCAATTCACTTTTTTGCTGTTTTTTTTTCATGAGTTTTTTTATTATCATTACATTTTTATACAAAACTCAAAACTTAATGTTTACAGTTAATGATACAATTTTGTCTAACACATTTCATTAGAAACATCAAGCAAATAATTATTTGGGAAAATATTTACTTTTAAATCCTTCCTTGAAAAATCAACGCCTTTCATATATTTAATAAATAACAAATGTAATTTAATTATATCTTTTATTTTGACGAACTTGGGCTTTTCCTCGTTGAAATTTTTTAAAAAAATAAATAGATAAAAATACAAGACGGCTTTACCAGTTTAGGTCTCGGTCTGCGACCCTATTTCATGAGCAAATGTGCTGCTCGCTAACTTATACAAGAATTTAATTTTTTTTAGCAACCATACAATGACAGTTCCGAATGGACCGGATTCAACGCCACCGAAGACCCGCTGTTGATGATGTTGGCCATCAATGATACGATCAACAGCGGCGAAGTGAACAACGACGACTTCCAGTTTCTGTTAGACATGCACCCCGACCTGGCAGACCCGACGGAGAACATGGGCATTGAGGTCGAGTCACAGAGCAATCGGACGCTAGAAATGTTTCGTGCGAGGTTCAGTGACCGCGTTCTGTGGACGGCCGGTGTTAATGTGAGTGCCCTCGAGGAAGAGGACCTGCGTTGTGGAGGAGTCGCGCTCGCCTCAAACTTGAGTGGGCCGGCCATTATGCGGATGGCTACTGTTTGTCCTTTGCAAAGGTGCTCATTCAGGTATGTAACATATTGTTCTTCAGAATCCATTATTATTATTATTATTATTCTTTATTGACTTATGAGACGTCGCCACGATGGAATTACTCAATGCGACGCGCCCCATTTGCAACATAGTACATGATAAGAGAGAAAAAACAATATCACAATGCATTCATAAATTGAAAGAACTCTTTCCTATCATAAAATTTATGCACATGAACAAAACGCCTCAAACTGGTTTCAAAAACCTTATACCGAGGCTCCAAACGAACCGAAACAGGCAACTTGTTATACAAAGAAGACATGGAAGTCAAAGGGTTTTGGTTGGAAATTAACAAAGCCTGGGCCGGAACATACAAATCGCTCTTAGCCCTTGTCTGGTGATCATGAACTTCGCTTGTCTTTTTAAAATAATGCGGATATTTACGAACAAACTTGCAAGATTCAAAAAGGTAAATTGAAAATATAGGAAGGAAGCCGAACCGAGCGAAAAGTATTATTATAAAAATGTTTAAAGATGAAAATAAAACGAAGCTTTTAATAAATTATTTTAAATTACAGCTATGCATCTATTTCAAATCGCAGAATTTTTCAAATAAACAAAGACGTGATAAATCATCAAAATTAAAATTTAGTAATAGTTTTATATTAAATTGTGAACAAATTTTGGTAAATCAAAATTAAATTTTTTTAAATATATTTTTAATTTTATCGCATTAACTCCAAGATATTTTTTATAATTCATTTAGTAATAATTTATTTGATTAATAATCACTAAATTAATGGAATTTTACCAATCAAAAAGTGCCAGTTGAGTAATTGACGTTTATTTGCACCATTATAAACCTAGAAAATCCTTCCTCTCTCTCCTCCAGCCGAATTTCCATTTCATGCCCAATTTCATTCCCTAGCTCCGCCGTCATAGTGAAACATTGATGCAAATTCAAAATCGATAGACCCGACCAATGCATAATTAATCGCGCAAAGTTGCTCGGCTTCTGGATCTGCCACTTTTGCGTGGCCCTTGTTTCTTTTTCGCGGTGGCCCACATTCCGAATGGTGGATGGAATTTCGGTCTCTGGTGTCCCTGGGGACGTCGCCGGCCGCGCTTAAATCTTTAACCAGGGTCCAAGTGAGGCTTAAATCTTGTCTGGCCAGACTTTCACTTGGCAGCAGAAGGGAGTGGTTTTTGGCCCTTTAAATATTTTAACAGAGAAGATCATCCAGAAACGAATTTTTTTTTATTATTAAAAAATAATAATTTATGAAAACAAAAAATTTAATAAAAAAAAAATGTTTTAGAACGGGGGGTCCTGAAAAGTGTCCGTCGCAGTACAAGGAGACTGACGACAAGACTTTCTACATGTATTTCGTCCTTCGTTTCCTGGGCAATGCGTGCATGAACGCCGGCGTCACAATGATCGACCCCATAGCACTCACGATGATCAAAAAATACGGCGGCGAGTTTGGGCGAGAGCGCATCTTCTCCACCATTGGCATGGCCATATTTTCACCGATTACCGGATTTCTCATCGACTACAACAGCTTCCAGCTCGGTTAGACATTTATTTTTATAATAATTTACTGACAAACTATGAACATATTCCTCAAATTATTTATTAACAATTGAGGTGACAATCATGAAAATTTGCAATTGGGCTTGAGCTTTTTGAAAAATTATATGATATTCAAGATTCAAGGTGACGCTTGTGACCAAAATAGGTTGGTAAATTTAAAAATTTAGGAAATTTTCGTGTCAGTTAAATATTGTTCGATTTTAATGAAACATCTGAAAAAAAAATAGATAAAAAAAGATTCAAACTTTTAACAAAGAATTACAGAAAAAAAATCATACTTTTAAGCCCACACGTTTCTTATTTTTCAACCCGATTTTTAATATTCTTTTATAAATTTTCCCCAGGCTACACGGATTACTCAGCTGCCTTTTACGCCCATGACATTTTACTCATGACCGCGGCCGTGTCCATCATGGCGATGCCCATCGGAGTCAAGTTGCCGAATGACGACCTGCTGCGGGACGTCTGGCGCATCCTAAAAATGCCACACGTCACCGTGTTCATCTTTTTCCTCTTCTTGTTGGGAAATTACTGGGGCTACATCGAGTCCTTCCTTTTCCTCTACCTCAAGGAACTCGGCGCACCCAACTACTTACTAGGTTTGTGTTATTTTAGTCTCTATAAATTACAGCGTAATAACGAAAAATTAGTATTTTTTTTTTACTTTCCGTTTTTATTGTCGTTCCACCGGAAGAAGCACACATTTAATTAAAAGCCTGTTATTATGTGAAACGCCCCAGAATAAATAAAGCAGCGGCGGCGGCAATAACGAGAGGGAAGCAGCCTTCTGGCTCGCCCTCCTATGCTGTTGGTTTTACTTCTGGTCGGCGGAGCTGGGCGGGTGCAGCTTGAATTTATTGCCAGCAATGTGTTACACGGCCTGTGTAATTACACCGACACACACAATACAAGCGAATTACGCTCACACATTATTGCACAGTGCATATAATATAAATCCGTCGCCCGGCCGCACCCCCGCGCCCGCGTCTAAATTTTATTCCCCCTCCGGCAAATTACATCTTTAAAAGCGCCGCATATGAACGGGAAAAACGGACTTTGATGATAATAATGATGGTGATAGGATCGAAACAAACAAAAAAGCTCAAATTTTTCAAGTTTTATAATATAATTATTAAATTTTGGGATAATTCTCTTGTCAGTTGTTCTCCAGAACGATTTTTAGAAATAATGGCACATATTTACTAAAACAAAACTGTTATAATTAATTAATGCAAAAATATAATTTTTATGTTTTCTTTTTCCCTTAACTTTATATTTTTATTATTATAAAAATATTTTATCATTCTGTTATGAAATATTTAGTTTTATTTATTAATTTTTTAAGTTTCTCATTAAAAAAATTGGGAACTATTTTTATTTTTTTAAATTTATTATAAATATAATGAATAAACGCGTTCAAATTGTTAATAACATTTTAAAGATATATATTAAATAATAATTATTATTGTTGTTTATTTGTCCAAATTGTTACATCACATTGTTTACATACAGATTGTTGAAAACATTTAATAATAAACATAATAATCTATGTTTGCCAGCTCATCTTCATTGAGATTGTTTAGTAGAAATTATTAATAATAATATAAATAAATGAAGCAACAGAATAGAGTTCATAAATTTTGTTGCTCGTTATGCTTCTGGTTTTCATAGATAGATTAATTCAGCCCTTGCACACCTGGCCCCAAAAACGAAGCTATGCACCGCGTGCAGCACATTTTGCTCTATTTGCTCACTCGGTGCAAAATTACACCAAATTAATGTGCAGAGTGCTCGCGTGTGCTGCTCGAACCCACGTAATGAATGTCGCCCCGTGCAATTTGCATCGCGGCTCATTTCGAGCCAATTATAAATACCGCCCTCGGCCACCCAATGGCTTTGTTTTAAAACACACACATATTGTATAGTCCGCACCGCACGTTTTGCATTAGCTGTTTTGTATAGTGCGGCGGTTCACTTTGGTTTTATTTATAAATGTAGGCAAATGGACGAGAGGAATGGAAATTATAGCGAGCGTACAACTGAGCGTTATATTATTTGGGACACGTTTGGGGGCGACGTCGGCCGGACACAAGCAGCTAGTTTGCCGGCTAATCCTCTCTGGCGGACTCTCGTTAATTATTTGCGCGGTGTAAAATCATTCCATTAGCATTTTGCTGAACACTCTGTTTTGGCTCGACGAAAATCTCTCAGGGCTCAACCAAATGCGGAATGATGTAAATTCGAGACCCTCTGCGTTTTATGGGCTATCAGCTTTTCGCCAAAGATAGGAAGAAAAAGAAAAATAAATACTTATTTTCTACACAGGATTCATCAACTTGGATTAATTTGCTTGAAATTAATTTTGAATAAAATACTTTGATTGGAAAAATATATATATATAAATTTTTAACAATTATAATAATTATTTTCATGAAAATATTGGAGCTCAGTTTTTTATTCGAAAACGTGCTTCCTTCAAAGATTAAGAATTTTAATTTTAATGCCATTTTCTTTTTTATTAAATTTTTAAATTTTTCAAGTGGTTTAATTATTGCAGGTTTAACCCTTACTGTGGGCACATTGAGCAGCATGCCTTTTCTATTTGGCGCCGAGCGCATTACAAAAAAGGTTGGCCACGTCAACATAATCATAATAGCTTTTTTCTCACACGCCGCTCGCCTCGTCGGATATTCAATGATTGAGTAAGCATAATTTTTTTTTAGCTAATTTTACTTTTAACTCGTTATTTTAATTTCAGCGACCCTTGGTGGAGTTTCCCATTCGAAGCTATGGAAGCGTCAGCCGTACACCTGATGTGGGTCGCTGCCGCCACATATTGCACCCTTCTCGCGCCCCACAATCTCCTAGCCTCTATCATTGGCATCCTCGGAATGGCCCACTTCAGTCTCGGTGAGTTAATTACTATCAATAGATTAGTTAAAAGAAACGTGACACATACAAGTGATTTGCCACAAAATTAATATTCATCTCTGAACACAGAAAACGCAAATTGATCTTTATCAATAAAATATACAAGCAATTACAAAAAGGTCGCAAAATAATGAAGTTTCAAACTACAAAGTAGTACTTTGAAATTTCCTCTAATTAAAATTTACAAAATTATGCAATCGGTTTGTGATTGATTATTCAATAGAAATTGAGTTTCACTTACATACTAATATGGAATGATTGAATGGATAAAATCAAGTTAGTTAATACTTCTCAAATATTAGCAAAAATTAATGCAAAGAGCATATTAAATAAATCCATTAAAATGGAAAATTCCTCTCACTGGATTGGAGATTTCATTTTGTTGTCGCAATAGTATTGAAGGTTCTGCGTAAGTGTAACAAGCTCATTAGATAAAGCACTATAACAAGCACATTTTGACGCGGCTTTTGCTTAAAGTGAGAAGTCGCGCGGAAAATAAAATGGGAATTGAAACCAGACTGATGAAAGTTCTCTCACTGAGGGTGCTGTAATTATCAGCGTGTGTATTCTGTTTACGCTCAACGAGTACTGTTGTCATTTAAACGAGGGGCTCCCTTAGGCAGTCGACGTGAAAGCAAATGAATTGCCGGCTGCAAGTAGAGCAAAATTGCAACACACTCGGAGCATTTTCGCAGCTGTTGGGGAAATATGGAATGCTTTAATTAACCCTTCTACCCAGGGAGGAATAGCATATTTCAGCCCAAGGCGCTTTACAAAGGTTGTTGCCAAATAAGCGAACGTCTATCTAAATACATATGTGTGACTGTGATATACAGTGCCCTTCGGTGGAATGTTTGGTTTTGTTGATAGTGCTTGTTAGCTCCCGACTATACAGTAAATAGCAAACCGAATTTCACTTGTGCCAAATCAGCACCCGCTCAGTCAAGTGCGTTGTTGTTCCAAAAGCAGCGAGCTCTAATTGAATGGTAACAATGCAAAAGCAAATCATCCGAATTTGATTTAATAATTTAAATTGGTTTCTTATTTGATTTATAAAATAAGCGTTGGCAATTTTCATTTTGAATGAAAATGTTTATTAGAGCTGTAAAAATACAAAATAGAGAGTCTTTTTGCCAATTTCAGCATCCTCAAGAAAAGGTTCTGTGTGGAGTACAAAATTGCAATTTTGTCTAAAATTCAATCAGACTCTCCAATAAACTTTTCATTTTTTAACTTTGAAATTAATTTTGTAGAAATAAATAGAATCCAGACCAAGGTCTACATGTAGCCCTGGTAGTTGGTCAAAAAGAAGGGATGCTGAGTCATCAGGGGCCCAGTAGGCTGCTGCTGCTGGTTCTGCAGATCAAACTGATCGGGTATGTAGAATTGCTGCATCAGTGGATCAAAGTAGTGCTGCACCTGCTGCTGCTGCAGCAGCATTTGATGGTTGCTCGGCACCAACACGTAGTTGAAAGGTCCTGGAGGCATCAGGGGAGCCATCATCGAGGGGCTTGGCATCATGGGGCCCATCGGAGCAGTTTGCACAGGTGGTGGCACCATCTTGTTGAACATCAACTGCAAAATAATTAAAATATGATTATGAATATTATAAATAACAAAAAAAGTTGTAGTTAATTTCCTGTTTAATATACAATGAAAATTAAATTTGGTTTTTTCAACATAAATATTTTGATACGATTTACCTCACGCAAATTCAAAGTCTAAACATAATTAAAATTTAGGGAAAAATGGTGCCCTATTTTGTCAGCAATCAGCATTTTTCTTAATTAATAATTACCGGAGGAGCAGTGTGTCTGACAAAAGTCTGCTCAGGAGTGCCAGGTGGCACAACGAACTTGGGTGGAGTGACCTGCAGCTGTGCCTGCGGTGACCAGCTTAAATTCTTGGCAGGCCCTTTCTCCACCAACTGCTTGGCAGCCTGCGGAGGACAAGCCACTGCTGGTTGCTGATTCTTAACCTCCACTTTAGGAGGTCTAGTGGTCTGACACTGCTGGTTCCTTGAAGCACCATTTGGTGTGTTCTGGGTCTCATCCACAGGAGGACTAGCTTGCTTTTCCACGACTTTTGGAGGAGGAGTCTTCATGGTTCCTTGCAGATTCAGGTTCTTCAAACTGTCCTCCAAGGAAGTTTCACTCTCATTGTTACAGGTCACCGATGGGCAAGGGTTTCTCTGTTGCTGGTCAGCGTAGTTGTGACGGTAGTTGCCCTCGAGAGGACGGCGGTTGCTGAAGCCACCTCGCTGAAAGTGTTATATAAAAATTAATAACTTTGCTATTAAAAACATGCATTTTAATAATATTTATTAAACTGCAATGTATTTTATATTATTATAAATTTTGATGAAAAGGGTGAAATATACTCACCCTGTTCTGATCATCAATAGTCTGGCACTGTTGGTTCCAAGAATCATAGCTTGGTATGTTCTGCATCTCATCCGCAGGACTACTAGAATTTATATTTCAAATTAAATTTTTAATTAAAAGTGCACACCTAAAATGTAGTTTAATTAATCAGCGGGAGTTTGCAAGTTAAATTAACTTTCAACAAGGATATGGATGGACAAAAAATCGCAATCGCACCACTTATTGAAAAGATAATCGCGATCAACTCGATCGACTTCGCAATTGCAAAAGGAGGTCGATCGCAGGCAATCATTTGCGATCGCGGAAAGCAATTTTTATGGGAGAATTTGATGCTAAATCTGGAAGAATAATTGTCATATATAGAGCTAATTTGAAAGAAAATTTTCTTACACAAAGACTTTTACTTTGGGAAGATGATTTTAGTTAAGACTCCTCGTTCTGAAACCGGCTGATAGAAAAAGTTCGAAAATGTGTTTCTTCAAAAATATTTTTGATCACAAATAATCACAACGCTTTTTATCACGATCGCAATCACGATTTTTCAATTTAAAAGATCGCAATTGTACAATTTTGTTTTATTTTCAAGATCGCAATCACAATCGCAATTTTATATCGCGTCAATCCTCGACTTTCAATAAAAAATTTGAAGTAATTGAAGTAATCAAATTTTGATAAAGATAGATTAAAAGAAGATATATTTGTGCATACCAAGTGTTGACAAGCAGGGTGTGACACTCGAAAGGGTGAGTGGGGTTAGTCAGCTTGGCCATGCAGTAGGGCGTGCAGAATGGAGTGAAGCAGACGGCACAGTTGGATTGGGTGACTGATCCACAGCCAGCACAGTTTTGACCAACACTCATGCTGACCAGAGTGGAGCCTCCCATGGCAAATCCAGCAGCGAAGTGACCAGGAAACTGAGGGAACATGTGAGAAGAACCGTTGTAGGCTGGCTCAGCACTCTCTTCAGGAGTCATCAGAAGTGGAGGTTCACGAGGTCTTTAAGATAAAATAATAATTATATAAAAATTAATCAGATTTTATAAATAAATTTTCAAAAGATGGTTCAAATTGTCAAACCTGAAGTACTTCATTTGAACAGGAGAGCGAGCATAACCTCCTCTAAAATTGCTGTTGTAGTTGTCTCGGAATCCTACACACAATAAATCCAAATTTTAATTTTTAAAATCAAATAAAAAAAATCATTATAATTACCATTTTGCTTGAGATTCCCATTGAAATGCAGAGCTTGAGAGTTGCCGTATCCTCCGCGGTTAGAGTTGTTATTGTATCCACCTCTTTTAGGTTTGTAGACGAACCTCGGGTCTCTCTTGCTCACCTTGACTTCAAAGAAGTATGGAGCTGTTTCATGCAGCTTCTCAAACAACGCATTAGCCGACCTGAAGGCATAATTAAAGCCCAAATTTGAGTACATAAAATCATTTCTGCTCTTACTCCTCCTGGTCAAATTCAAGAGTTAGGATTTTGGTAGAATTAGTCATGTCTGCTCCTTCGTATCTGCCACCTCGATTGACCACCATGAACTTCTGGAACCGAGGCCAAGTCGGTGAAACGGAATGGACCAACTTCAAGATCTCATCCTGGACAAAATCAAAAATCTATTAACGGGTGCACCGAGAGGATGGATATTTGCAAAAACAAACCTCGGATAATTCCAGTGGAAGCTTGGAAATGGTCACTCGGTAGTAGAATTCAACCTCAGCAGGCCTGCAGCAAATTTGACAAAAATCAAACATGGATGAAACAAAAATTCGTAAATGAAAATCGGGGCTACCTGTTGCTGCAGATGGCGGCTGCGGATTTTTCATCCAAGCCTTGGTGGCCGCCGCCGTCAGTTTGGCCGCCGTTTCCGTGGCCGCCGGTGCCCTGTTCGGCCATCTCAGCCGCAAAACGAGAAGACAAATGGGTAAAAGGAACGCGAGCTTCAAAACAAGCTCGATCTCAACGATAAAACCCTTGTAAAATTGCTAAAAAGGCGGCGGAGTTGACGATGACGCTTCACCGACGAGCGCTTCGAATCGCGAATTTCAAGGTGCTGCGCGCTGATTGGTTGACCAAAGGTCGACGCTTCGAGAAAGACCAACTCTGATTGGCCGAGGATTGTTGCTGGATGGAATTTCTGTGTTTTCGGAGGAATTTCGTTTGTTCTCGTGAGCGAACATGTTGCATCGTGTTTTGGTGAGAGATGCAGTCGCGGTCGCCGCAGTCAGCGAAAACAACAGAGACAAACAAAACCAAAACAAGAAGGGAGAGCAAAAGTTGATCGCTGCATGACTCACTAATGTACAAATTTTTCTGACTACTTTTGCTATTTATTTAGGAGAGAGGATGCTTCAAATTTTTGTTAGTAACGTAAACTACAAAAATAAAACATTTGGAGCCGAATATTTATTTAAAAATAAATACTTTTTTTTATGAAAAATATTGTAAATGGATCTTTTATAAGAAATTCAGTATTCAGTTTTTGAAAATAAAAAGTAATTTTCTTCTTCTTCACTTCCGAAAAGAGCAAAAATTTAGAAAAATAAAAAATGCTCGATACTCTTTTAACCTCGGGAATTTTTTGCCAATATGAAATAAAAGGCTAATTTTTTTTACAAAGTGAAAGAGGGTGGTTCGGCCCGCCGTGTCCTTTGTATCTTTTCCCGTTGCCCAGCGGCAGCGATCTTTTGTTGAGCCAGAGTGGTGGGCTCTTGAAAAACTTTGTCGCTTTTGCTCTGTCAAAGAAAACTGATTTCCCGGAGCGCAAAAAGAGCATGCAAAACGAGGGCGGGTCGGATGACAATATTTTGCGCACGGATGACACTTGATGGAAGACTTCATGTGATGGGAAAATGTGAGGGCCTTTGTGAATGCTTTGTGACAAAACACAAGAGCAAAAAGGGCTATTTACCTTACATTGCTCTTCAGCTTTTTATCAAAATTATAATATATTAAAATCAAATAAAAAATTAATATTGTTGAGAATCATCTTTTTAATATTATTTTTCTATTTGCTTTTTAAAGTATACTATGTTTCACCCGGAAACCGTGAATAATGAATAAAATATAATTATTTTCGCTCTTTAAAAAACAATTCTTGCTTGACATGCATGATTTATTTTGTTTATCAAAAATATATTCAGAAATCTTAATGCTCTCAAGCAAACTTTCAGGAAAAGAGGTTATTTATTTTATTATTATTTATTCTTCTCGGTCTGTTCAAAAAACAGACAGGTTTTCCTAGTGATTAAATTGTTTTGCATAAAAATTTGTAATACTGAGCAAGAAATCCATAGGTAAAGCTGTTTGTTTCTTTGAATCAGATTTTATTGGGCGAGCATGGAAACCTGTTTTTTAATTTAAATGTGATAAATTTAATTGCTTGCAGTTTTTATAATTTTAAAAATTTCTTCAGGCTCCTTTGGTTTAAAAAAAGGAGCACAAATTCGTTGCAAGGCCTTTGCCTCCAGGCTGATTAGTCATAAAATATTTTATTAATTTAGTTTTTAATTTACTTACAAATTTATTTTTTCAATACAATAATTCAATTTTCGCTGAATTTAAAAATTATCTTTCGTGAGTAAACAAAAACCACTGTTAATTAAAATTTCATTTGAAATGCGGCCTGTAAAACTTTGGATTATTCCAAAATTTGCATAATGAGTTTGAATTTTTAATTTACAAACTCGTATTTCATTAATGGATTCCAAATTGGAAGATATTTTAGTTGATTATTTAATATTTGTCTCCAGGTCGAGGTTTCGGCAGCTTTGTGGGCGGCTTTCTGATTTCGGACATTGGAGCTCGAGAGGCCTTCCGCATGATGGGCTACATGGCGGCCGTTGGGGGCGTCGTTTACGGCCTCCTACACGCTTTCTGGCTGCGTCATCTGGTGCTCACGGACCCTAACAAGGAACTTCCGGTCCCGGATGCTGAACAACCAGGTAAAAAAGAAGAAAAGTTAATATAATATGTTCCCGAACTCTTTCAAAATTTTGTCTTCGCTTTTTTTTCAATCGCCTATTTTTAGATATTTAGCTCAAAGGGAGAGTGTGTAGCTTTGAAGCTGCAGCAAACTTGATTAAAAGTTTGGAAAACATTGGCAAGTTGACAAGCAGCCTTTCCGCTGCCGCTTTATTGAATTCCGATACGCTAATTTTTTTCTTTGAAGCAAGATTCTCTCTACTTGGTATACAAGCAGTGCCTGTCAATATAATTTTGTTCCGCGCAGCAGCCAATAAATATATCAAAGCAGCGCGTTGTTGTGAAATTCCTCCTTTCGCGATATCAGCCTTCCTCGCTCGCTCTCGTGTTCCTTCCTCTGGCGTTCGCTAATAAAATTTCGCTCAAACGCGATTTATTGTTTTCCGCTCGAGAGTGTGTGTCGTCGTCAGGTGACACTTTAGCCCCCATGCAAATAAAAATCAATGCCCGATCCTATTCAGGCTCAGACGTCGCCTTCGAATCGTAAATATTTTATTTTCACTGCCAGGGACGAGCGACGTACAAATCATAACTCTTCAGACGGCGGAATGTGTTGCGACACTTCAAGCTAGGGCCTGGGGGAGTGGGACAAAATTGGGTTCGACTATTTGTGAAATGGGATTTGCGGCTTTTCGGATGACGTCTTTTGGTCTTGGAATCAATTTGAGCATTCCTTGTAAAAATTCAAGGATATTAAACAAAGAATCAAGTTTCAAAAGTTTTGTCACTATTATACAACTATTAAGTAATTGAAATGAAAAGATGAAATCAAGTGGAAAAAGAAAATTAAATTTTGCTGCTTTAATGGTATAGTTGCTTTGAATCAATCGAGCCATTTACAGAAATTTAATTAGTAATTAAGTATACCTGCACGTTTTTTACTTATAATTTATATCATTTTGACCTAAACTAAAAACCAATCATTCTTAATTGCGCATCATTTTTTACTAAATGATGGATGTTATTACCTGAAAATAATAATTGAAGTTTTGCTACTTTGAAAATAGAGTTAAAAATGAACCAAAGAAAAATTGGAATGGACTCTGATTTTCGACAACACACTTTAGAGACCCTTTGAATTGCGAGGGAATTGATTCAAAAGGCTCGCAGCGCACAATAAAACGAAGCGATTTCCGCAAGATAAAGTCGAACAGCACCGATTTGGCATAATTTCGGGAGTGCATCGCCCTTCTGGCAAAAAGCTTCAACGGCATTTTCGCCATTTCTCGGATCGAGCGCGCGATATCATTTCCACCCGCTGGCTTTTATGGGTCGCTTTGGAAGTTTCTCTCGCTAGCTCGGGCCGCGGCGAAATTCCCAGGAAGTCGAGTCGAAAAATCAAACACGTGCGCCACGCCATAAAACAACGCAAAAAATGTAGCAAGAATTTTTCCGCCCGCCGATATTAGTAGCTGCGAGACTCGCCATAAATCTGCACCATTTTTTTATTGCAAGGGAGACTCGCTTACACGCTTCTTTATCGCCGCAGATATGAAGTGGGTCTAGGGCGAAATTCACTCAGGTCTTGCTCGACCCTCTTTCTCGGACCAATTTCGCTCTCTCGTCTCAAATCCGCGTGATTGATGGCCGCTGTCAAATCTTTAATTGGACGCGCCGCATTATTTCCTAGCCCGCTTGGCCCCGCGGGATGAGTGTCATGTCGAGCAGCGCAAAAGATTCATCGTTGCGAGACAACTTCTTCTTTTTCCTTTCGTCATCTTTTTTTTTTATATCGCTCTCACAAAGTTGCGCTTGTCTCAGCCTCGATTAAGGTCGGTGGCTTTTGAGCTCGCCAGAAGGAAAAGAGCAAAAGACAGTTTTGCATATTGGAGGAAAATTTCTCGTCTTGGTGGATTAATTTTTGCACTGTTGTTCAACTGAGCTATAAAGTTTCTAGACCGAGAATTGCTCCTTTTAATGAGACTAAAAAGTATTTGAACTTTACACGGGAGGAAAAAACACAAATTTTAATGATGCTGCTGCCTGAATATTGAACCTATTTAGAGGAGGTACTTTTTAACCTTTTCACATGCAAACTTTTACTTTAAATAAAAGAAAAAACACGAACAAGTTTTAAGTCTTTAGTTGTCTTTACTTAAACTTATAGATCGTAAGTATAATATTGATTAATTTTTATAATGAAAAATTTCATGCTTAAAAAAATAAGTCTCTCAAGGTCTTCTGAGTGAGTCGTTTATTGTTTTAAATATTGAATAATAAATTAAGCAATACCCTGCTCTGCATGTTTTTCAAACAAACCTCAAAATAAATTTTTCTACAATAAAAATTAGGTTTTTTTTAAATTGAAGGTGAAATACTATTTTTATTGTAATAATATTTTTTTCAGAAATATTCAAGTTTCAGTTTTCAACATTTTGAAATTTTGCTGTTTAATAATCACAAACAATTGTTTCCACATATTTTTAACTTTATAATTTAGTCGATGAAAGAGAAAATGATGATTTTAAATTATGTGTGTAAAATTGTGTAAAATAAGCCCCTGCCATTTTAACGTTATGCAACTGGCACGACATACTTGCCAAGGCGGTTGCCCACCTCAATGCACTTATATAAAATGATACAAAGTCAAATTTTTCTCGTCTTCATAAAGAAAAATTCATAAAGATTTTTCACCATAAATAAAAATTCATATTTCATGTTTTTTGTTACATCCATGGATGAACATAAAATAAAATTTATAATTAATCATAAACAAAATATCGAATTCAATCTCCATCCAAAAAACCATTCTGCTCTGTTCTTTAAAATTTGTCTTGATCAGTAACAAAAATTTTATGTCCTCATTTATAAATTTCAGGCGACCTAGAAGAACAGGAAGGACTTTCCGGAGCTTCGACGCCACGGACGCCTCGCGTGGCGACGCCAGAGCGTTTGAGTTTGATGATTGGCATCAACCCTCGCGGCTCCCTGACCGATCTGAATATTTCCTCGTCCGACGTCCGTGGCAGTCGCAGTTTGCTGCGTCAAGCCCTGCAGTCAAACGCCAGCACGCCTTCCTCGCCTGCCCGACCCTGGAAGGGTTCATTCTTGACGCCTCAGAACGCACGAAAGACGCCGACGGACTCGGCCCAGTCGACGCCGCTGATGCAGAGACGCCGGACGCACTCGACCGCTTCCAACGGCAGCGCCACGAAGCCGCTTTCGCCTCTGGCCAGACCCACGTCACCACTCGTGGCCTCGCAGACCAGCGTCGGCAGCTCTACAGGCGGAAAACCGATTTCACCGCTCGCCAGGGAAAATGAAACAAAAAATAATGGAGATGGTCCCAACGAAAGTTAATTGAATCTCAAAATTTCATTCAAAATTCGACAATAATATGAATTCAGAAATTACTTCATTTATCAAAATTCTTTATTAAATTAAGATTAATTCTAACATTGAAAATTTATTTTACTTATTCTGAGATAAATTTATCAAATATTTGGATATCTCTAGATTTTTTGCTTTTAAAGCAAACTTTATTTCACAAAAACTTGTCATGTTCGTCTTTTACTTCTCTTTCAAACGTCAAGTTTAGCCTTTGTTAGGATTTCAATTCTCTGCTTTTTTGGACAATGCGTCCCCTCAGATTAGTTTTCCTTCTCTTCGGCCTCTCTAAATCAATCGGACATCACCCCCTTTGGCACGGGTCCCATTCAAATCTTGTTTGATTAACATAAAAAGAAGCGACCCGATTGTGTCGCATCCGTTGTCAGCAAAGTTGCGCATCAGTTGGAACGACGTGGAGCGAAGTTTGTAATTTCCTCTGCTCTTCCGGCGACTATAGGGCCGAGAGAGTGACCCACCCTTTGTGCAATTTGGCCAAAGTTGCGCCAAGGCCTCATTAGACACAAAAGGGCCCCCTCCATCCTCACACACACTCAGAGAGTCAATCGCCAATTAACAGCACAAACTGATGAAATTGGAAAGCGTAAAATTCAATTACCTACACCTAACCCAAAATCACTCAAAACGTTCAATCTTTAAACCTTCGTATTTAAATTTGTTCGCAAAAAAAATATTAAATAATATTGATTAATCATGTCAATGTCCATCATGTAATTTTTAATTATTGGAATTTAGTTTGGGTTTAAATATTATTTAAAATTGCCCAAAAAATACAATATTGAAAACATTTCACAATCAAACTGTAAAGTCCTGAACCAAATTTAATTTTCCAATATGAAATTGAAGTGAAATTTTCAAAAAATCCTTGCCACAGAGAAATAAATTTGAAATTGTAAAAAATAAACATTTTTTTTTCATTGCTCAAAAAGGCAAGTGGCCATACAGACTGATCTTGTTTTAATTCGGATTTGGATGGGGTGGTTAGAATGGTACTCGATTAATTGCGCATTATCATGCGAATTCGTTCATTGTTGAGAGGCCATTGTTGAGCGGTTGCTCTGTTTTGTAACAAAGCAACTCATGTTAATTCGCCCTTGAAGTGCTTCAACTCAAGTGAATGATTTTATTGAGCTCATTTTGCAGCCGAGAGCTGCATATTCAAGCGGTCTTTGTACATAACGTAAATATTATAGGATAAATATACAAAGTTGCATGAAGGCGGCACAGATTATAATGATGTTAAGGCCCGTTGTCGGGGGAAGAAAGGTGATTTATTTTGAAAGCGCATTTACGTCACAAACTTGTCGGGGCTTATTAATAATGAGCAGAAGTAGCAAAGTGCTCTTTGTGCCTCGAGATTTAGTGTGAGAGAGACACGCATCATATATAAAGCCTTGTAAAATAAATTAAACGGCGGTTCAATGGAATTACATAAATCATCCACATATGTAACATATTAATTGCTGATTGTTATCAGCTTTGATGGAATAAAATCGATTGATAAATTTCCTTTGAAATCTGCGATTTTTATTTGCGTTTAAATCAAGTATGTATATTTAAAATACTTTTGGAAAAATTTGTGATGTGAAATGTGAATTTGAAAAAAAAAATATTCAATGATTAAAATTCAAATGAATCCTTTGTTTTATTGTTGCTTATATATGCAAGCTGTGGGTTAAAACAGCTCATTCATATGATTTCAATTTGCATAAAAGGTTTGCAAGCTTAATTTTTTTTCTATGCGCCACAATTTTAAATGCAGATTTTAAAAGTTATATGACCAAAATTTATTTGGCATTTTTGCCCCCATTTAATTTTACTGTTCTATGTGAAAAAAAATCTTTTCTGTTCTGAAAATTTCAATCAATTTATTTATTAAACGTGCCCACTAATCAGCTTATCCTTTATTTTGTTCGCTTGATATTTTTAATTGTTTTGCTAAATCCTACAAAAATATATTGCCGCTCTCTCTTTATTTTTCAAGCATCAATTCTTCTGTTTTATTTCTCGCTTGCTCTCACTATTTTCCTCCAATTGCGCTGATAAAAACTTCATTTGCATGTCTGTCTGCATTTTGGCGAGGTCCCCGCGCGCCCCTATTTCACGGCGCCGCGTCTAGCCTGATGGTGTTCTCAGTGAAATTGAAAACTTATTCGACGGAGCGAACGGAGGCGCGCAGAATGGATTTTTGCGAGTCCACCCGAGGGAAATCTGCCTGTTCGACAAAAGTAAAGTGTAGAGTAGAGACCTTTCTGCGGAGCATGCCGACAATGGACCTCTCATCATTCACCCGCCGAGGGCGACTCTTGCTCGCTCGCTCGATCTCTCGGCCGGTGAAATATTGCACTGATTAACTCGCATCATTTGACAATATTGATTGACCTCTGCGGCGCGCAAACAGCCCTTTGCTCCGCCGGCATCTGGGTCAGAATATTATACACCTGCCTCGATCGCCGTGTCGTCCATCACAAGTGACGGAACACCGAGAGTGCATTCCATGCTGCAAACACGGTGCTTAACGTGCTTGATGACACATGTTGTTGCGAGAGCCATTTGCGAGAAAAAAATTTTGAGTGCAATTCTGCCGTTATCGGATTAATGGCCTCGTAGAACAGCCGCGGATATTGAATTTTGGCTACAGCAGCTCGACAAGAGTTAGCAAAATGACCACCACCAGGTGATAAATTGTGCCAAAATGGAATTAAATTCTGTGTCGCTCTGTGTAAAGGTGGGTTTGTTTTTACTGTTTTGAACACAAATTTGGCTTTTACTATAACGATTTTTAATTAATTAATCGTTATATTACAAAATAAAAATGCAGTGTAAAAGTTTTTGGTTAACGAAGAAAGGCTAAAAAAATATTACTGTAACTCATTGTCAGAATCAAAAAGTTATAAATCTTTCAAAGAAAGAAAATGTGAAACTCACAATCAGTGAAACTAAAGGAAATTTCTTTAATAAGATTTTAATTTTTACAGCTTAATTATTTTAATATAATTTATTTCATTACTTAGAAAGTTTTTTAATAAAAAAAAAATAATAATTACGGTCAATATAAATTTTAGGTTTTATTTAATTAAATTTGTCATTGGCAGAGACAAAGAGTACCCATATTATTTTTTTCTAACAATGCAATTGTATGCAAATAATTTACTGAGGAACTTATATTTTATTATTAATTGTTAAAAAAATTACCGCAGCTGCTTTTAATCTTTAAATTTTAACAAAGATTCTAACAAGGAGAGTAAATATCTTTAAACTATTGGGATTTGTTGTATTATCATATTTTTACAGGGATAATTCCGCAATCCGCATTCAACTGTACATCATCTCGATTTGCTCACCTTTATGTGACAATCTCAAGAGTTGAAGAGCTGATAACAATCCAGCAATCCAATGCAAAACTTATTCAGCGCAGTTGGAAAAATAATATGACACGCGCGGTGTGTGTGTGGCAGCAAATATGTATATAGGGATGGAGGTAGAGAGCGTTTTGCACAATCGAGGCCATCTGGGTGCGAGTAGCAAGCGACGACCATCAGAGCAGCAGCCACTCAAATTAGCCTTTCGACAAAGTTTAATGGATTTTCGAGGGCCACCCGCCGCTCACTCTGCGAATGCATTTGCGGCGAGAGAGGTGCTCTCGTCGCGGCGCAAATGGTCTCTTTCCAACGAAACGGCCCCGCACACACTTCATATCATATTCCGCACGCAAAGTTTCGTTACTTGGGGGTCAAAAGTAAAAAAAAAGGTATAAATTTCCAGCACCCCCAAGTAAATAAATCCACAGACCTTTTTCCAAACAGTTTTTTTACTCTTGATACAGAAAACAAGCAAGGCGGATTTGATGAAAAAAAAATTAAACAACAAGGAATATAATAAGAAAGAAATGTGACTAAAAAATTAAATATATTTTTTTTCTAGGAAATTTCAATAAAGTGCAAAAAAATTCTTCAACACTTAATCTTTTAAAATAAACTTCCATCTTATTTTTCCAATATTACTTCCCCGGTGAATACCAAAATAATAATTGTATTCGATCAAGAAGTCCAAAGTTTTTACCAGCAGATCGCAGATCACAATACTTTTCTTTATTTTAAAGCCCATGGTCTCGATTTTTTACAGCTCCTCGTACAAAATTTAAGAGATCGGGAGCGGTCACGCAGAACAAAAACAGCGGCCTAATTGCCTGGGAAAGCGAGCGGCTCTCGCATTCCATGCCGCTCCTGCGATAAATTCGGACGGTCCATTCTCGGGGCGCGCAACAAATTTCGGTTTGTTTAGGGCGGGTTGCCTATCGGGCAGGGGCAGCAGGGCGCATGTGCCTTGCGCTTTGCGGCGGATGAGGAGCAGCGACGCTCCCCGGCTTCACTCTAGTCGGTCCAGGAGGCCACGCCTGAGCGCATCCAGCACCAGAACCCAAAGTCGACGCCACCGCCTGCAGCTGTGTCGTCGTCGGTAAGTCCTCCATGTCCTCATCCGACTCTTCAGGGTTCTAACCTGTGCCTCGAAAGCACCCTTCCTAGTTCAGAGCTTTCTAATTTCCCGTGTTTGTCTCAATATCAGCTTATAATTTTGATGTCCCACGAGAAAAGCAGCTATTTTTAAGATAGAAAGTAAGAATTCGAAAAAGGGTTTTAATTTCAACATTTTTTAGTTAAAAATTGGTTAGCCCAAATTAACTGAAAAAATTTTGATTTCATATTTGAAGGTTTTAATTTCATTTAAATTTTAAATATTGAAAAATTTCTGGGATTTCTGGGACATTCTAATTTTTCAGCAGAACTTTTTATACCAGCTAAAGCTTTTTGCCTTTTACTGCCAGTTTTCAAACTGAGCTGCAGTCTTGTTACTCGGTACATAGTTCTTTCCCAAGGCAAAAAGAGCCGCTTCTCGGGGGGAAATAAATGTTGTTCGCTGGCAGTTTTGGCATGCGACGTTTCTGAAATCTCACTCGTGGCGACGAGCCAAATTTCCATGCATTAGTCGCGCTGCTCGCCGCGAGTGTTTGTGTGGTAAGCAAGATAAAGCTGCTGCTGCTGCCTTTCGGACAAAAACTGCGCGCGACCCGAGTGCAGCTTTTTGCCCACGCAGCTTTGCCAAAGACACATACGTACATGTCCTGTGCGTTGCTGACTTCGCACGGAAAGACACAAAAAGACCCTAAAAGAAAAGGGCCGAAGGGCTTAAGAAACTAAATGAGAGTCTGTGGCGTGAAATAAATTTTAAATGAGTTCTGGTGCGAAACGCAGGAAATTTGCTTATTACGAAAAAGTTCAGATCTTTACGATCTAAAATATTTAAATTTTAATAAAGGTTTCTAAGTTAAAGTGCGGCCTGATAATTTTTGCCCCTCATTTCATAATTTGCATACGAAAAATTGCCTTTTTTGTCCATGTATATGCAGCAGGCTTGGCTCCAACGTCCATCAATGGGCAATAAACAATCAAACCAGAGAAGCTTTCATTTGTCCTAAATTCTCATTTTGTCACAATGAACCTGTAAAACGCACAGAAAATCTATGAAAAAAAAATATTTCTAGTACTCAGGGTGTGATTTAAGAAATTTCCACTTGGTTTTCATCAATTTGAATAAATGATGAGAACTTAATTAAATCATACTCCGAGTGTTTTTGAGTCAATCCCATTTTCATTTTCTTTTCTTTAATAAATCAAAGATAATTCGAGAGTTTCTTTTTTCCCATTGCCATGTTTTATAGGTGCGTGATCAAAAATCTCCCATTATCTGTAGGTATCCTGAAACAAGTAAGAAAATTTTGAGATACCACCTTGTGAAGTATATAAATTTTCATCAAATTTATTTTTAACATTTTCTTTCGTCAATGTTTCAAACGCTATTTTCCTTCAAAGGAATTTTCATCAAAATTATAAAAGTGAAATTCTCTGGAAGGACCATCAAACAAAAATGCTAAATCTTATGAAAAAGTTTAACATCAAAAGGCATCTGTGAGTGAGTTTGAATTTATAAGAGTGAAACAAGAAAATATCTTTATATTTTCATCAGAAATTTTTTCAATCAATCAAATTTGATTTTTGATTGCAAAAAGGCACATTTGGCGCCCATACCTGCAGCAGCAGCTAATTATTCACTCAGTTGTAGAGACGCATTGCAGCACCTGCGGGCCAACTTCAATCATTTATTTTTCTAATGAGACAGCAGCCCCTAGCACGTCTGCTCATTTGTGTGTTTGCTTGCCAAATGCCATCACCCTAATGAAATTAATTTGGCCACACGCCCTGCCAATGCGACACACACACCCGTCCTGCTGCGCTTTTTTTTTTATCCATTTGCAGCTCTCAGCAAAACAAAACACCATTATTGGGATTGATGGCCACGAGCCAATCCATTGTGAAGCAAAAAAAATCACGCGAATCGGAGGGCCAATTAATATAAACATTGTTGCGAGCGAATGGGGATTTTTGTGCGCGACTCCTTTGCCTGCCCGAGCGCGAAATTCGCCAGGCTGTTGATATTCGGAACACGGAACGCCACTTCATGCAAATGTATACACAA